TGTTTAATCTCCTTTTTGTGGTAGTTATAACTTGTATGTAACTCTTTAGACAATGGGTCTCGACCATCACTAACACACGCATTGTTTCTCTTTCTTCCCTGTGTCTCTTTGACTGTGAAGCATCAGTCTTTACAATCCTCAAGCCAGGAGTTAATTAGTCTTTTCATTTTACCTGAATGTGATAATTGATTAACGAGGAATAGTAATGGCTCTTTCTGTAAACTGCCTCTTCATTAGCCTCTTTCTATTACAGCTCAGACGAGTTTCTTTAAGCTGTGAGTTCAGGCTTCTCTATAAGCCTTGTCTATTTAATTAAATCCTAGAATCACCTATTCACTTCTTTATTATTACTCTCATCTCACAGCTAGAAGAAAAGGATACTTGAGCAGCTCAGAGCACTTCTCATGGTCCACATCTTTGAGTGGCAGAAGGAATGGCCCTGCACTCATCCACAAAGCCCTCCAGAGCTGCCCACTCTCACAATAAGAGCTATTAAATCCAACGTGAGGTGGTCCAGCTCTTCATGGATCTGGTATTAGTGTGGACGGGACACAAGCGCTGGAGCAGGAGACAGACTTTTCTGAATGTGGGACTTCAAAGTTACGAAGCACTCGAGAAGCATTATCCTGAAGCAGCTGTAGTGTTTGATAGCTTCAGACAAACTCATCAGCTCACAGCCAATAAGATCTATGGTCAACAACAGTAACTCAATATCACCCTGCAGTGTCAAATTTTAGATTACTAAGAGGAGTGTTTTGAAGGTATACTGTGTAATTTTTGGAGATGTTATTGCTTTGTCTCAATATTCCAAAATATGGCATTAAACTTTAAAGAGCCATACAAGGGAGTAAGAATGCATGTTTTCAAAGGTATTTCTGAGCAATAAAAACACCTGTAATTGAATAAATGCATCTTATATAAGTTTAATACCATTACAGGCAAAGCAATAACATCTCCATGGTAGCAGGTCCCCAACCTGAAAAGTGCACCTTTAAAGCCTTGTCTCTGGCTTTTAACCCCATGCCAGTTGTGTGGTCCTCTGTGTCTCTTATTTAATTTTAATTTGATTGTATTAATTTTATAGTAACATAACTATTTTTTTAGCTTTGTGTATTTGAATGCTTTTTATTTGAATGTTTTTTTCTATTTATGATTTACTCTCTTTTCTTGTCTTAATGTGACTGTGCAGCACTCTGGAAATGGACATGTTTATAAAATTTGCTGTATAAATAATGTGGATTAGATTAGTTTTCTTTTTGGTTAAAGACTTAGTGAATATTGTATGAATTGATACATAATATTGATCATGATTTTGTTGCTAGAGGGCCATTCTTTTTCTATTGACTTTTTATTTCAATGGTCATCCCCGTGCACTATTGATTCCAAATTTCTGGTTATAGCTCCACTACTAAGTACTAACTTCCAAAAACTATTCAACAATTTAACAATATTTTAGTACAGTCTAACACTGCTTTAAATTGTTTTTCATCAAAACAAATGTCAAAACACTTTTTTTGTTAAAGAGACAACATGTGGCCTCAATAGCTGCACTCTTAAGTGGTTTTAAAAAAAGGAACTACATCTATCCATCCATTTTTTCTGCTTACCCGGGGCCGGGTCATGGGGGTAGCAGTCTAAGCAGGGACTCCCAGATTTCCTTCACCCCAGACACGTCCTCTAGCTCCTCCAGTGTGTCCTATGTCTTCCCCGGGGCCTCCTTCCGTAACCACAATCAAATCAAAACTGACAGTGCCTCATATGAAACAGGAGACTTTCAGGGACTTTCAGAATGAGTATTCTTGATCAGGATCATTATCTTGAGACTTTTCAGATAATCTGAGAACTTTTGCCAGACAAGTTTTCTCTAATAGCTAGAAAAAGTCACATGGATTCCGCATCTTGAGAACCAAACCACCAAACAGCAACATAAACTTGGCCATCATGTACAGTCTTTACAGTTGTATATTTGCTCTGAATATGTTCACCTCATATCTGGGGACACAGATCATGTTTACAAAACAGATTATTATGGATGATTGCTACACAAATTTTATCTACAAAGAAAAAGTCACACTAAGTTACCTATTATAACTTGATGACGACTTGCTTTTGCACAGAGTTCATTTTACATTTATAAAATCTGAGGATAAATGGCATCTACCTCCCCACTGAGTCGGCTGAATGAATAAAACCACTTTATGTACCTAAACATGCCATGGATTAGACAACCCTTTAGTAAACCTCTTGCTACCAATACTCCCAGAATGCAGTAGGTCACGTAGGATTGGCCTTCGTTTCTCACTCTCCTTTTGAGTTTAAAAGCAACAATTACAGGAACACAAAAACACAGTGAATGACTGTGGGTAGAGGGCTTCGGCGCTAAACGATGAGAATAATAATGTGTCAGAGTGCGGCGCTTTAGGACATATGGAGGAGTGGGCCTGGCCGGGACACTGGCCTGTCCATGAGCTCTACTCCATTACAGGGATTAGGACTGTAGAGGCCGACCACACACAGGCCTCTCTCATACATTCAAACGGCAGGATTTAAACTTGTTCAAAACTAAACTATTACCTTAGGAGTGAGAATGGGCTGCGCTATCAGCATTTGCCTTTGAAAGGATTTGTTTCAAACGGTTAATGGATAAAATGAAACCAGACATGCTTTTAATACCCTGGCTTCACAGCGAGGGTCCACTCCTGCAAAAGATCTCAGCCTAACAAAACTATTAAAATGAAATTAGACTAGGCATCACTGGGAAATTACATTGTGCTTTCACTTTCAGTTTTAGCAAATTATATTTAAAGGAAAAAATGATCTCTTTATGCATTGCATTACCCCAAATAATGTGTTTTTTGCAAAATTAGATGATGCTACTCCTATAATGTATTTTATTGTGTCCACAATCAATAAATCTATGTTTAAATCCACTGAAAGTATAACCTGGCCTGAGCCTTTCCCCCTCTCTCCTCTAAGGGCCCCGGGCCCCAGGACTAGCCATGTATAACAGATATGGTTGATTGTGAGCAGATCAGAGCCAGTGACTGAGGTGAATAGACCCTGTGCGACCTCTCATTCAGCTCCAGTCAAAGCGCTCAAAAGAGCTCTGATATGGAAAAGATTGGGATATCCCCCTGTTCCATTCTTCTGCTGTATGTGACACCAGTGTGTGCCTCTGTGGCCGTGTGCGCTGGCCACTGCTGACTTTAGTCACCGTGAGTGAAACAGGAAGTGTCTGAATAGTGCTCCCGCAGGGCACCAACTCCATGTTGTGGCGTGTGTGGCTTCTGAGGAAGACAGTTTAAACTGATGTTTAATTTTAAAGACATTTAGGTTGTAGACTGATTCATTATTTTATACTATTTTAATATTTTAATAAAATAATGTGTTGTTAAGTAACAGGAAAATTTCAAAATGTTGCAAAAAATTAAACCAACTAGCAAAATTTGGCAAGAGGAATTAAAATAAATATTCTACTTGTCATGGCAGGCAAGGCTTTTTCAGTGTCTGTGATACATATATTTTATTTTTTTTGTGCCCCATATTGCGCTCTGTGCTCCTAACACTCGATCCCTGACTGGGACGGATAGAGCTGGATTAGCTGTTTCCTGCACAGTCACAATGGACTGCACCGGGAAACCAGATCAAACCTCACACACATAAATACGACCAGCACACATCGTAACGAGAGAGAGAGAGGGCCAGGAGCAAAGAGCCAGCCAAAGGGCCGAAAGCCAACAAAGAACAAGGCGAGGCGACCAGCAGGAAGTTGACTAGTCACTTTATCCCTGCGCCCCTCTGGCCTCTCTGCTGGGGCAGACGGGACCCTCATCTTGCACTGGCCGGGCAGACAGCGGGATAGCACGGAGGGGAGAGAGTTGAGGTTAAAATCAAAGGCTGAACCAGGGATTAGAGCTAGCTGCTCAGGGGTGGGGTTCAGGTTTAAAGAGAGCCATAGAGGCCAAAAGAGAATGGCTTTCAGTACTGACCAGATTGGATGTCCTAGACTATAATCATTGATCAGTTTTAATATTATCGCTGGTGCAATAATAAAGTAGTAGTAGTATAAAGCATGTATGATGATAGAGATACAATGGCATGACAAATCACTGACCAGTGAAATTAAAACTGAAGTGGGTTGCAATCAAGAAAAATTTAGCTCAAAGGCTCAGTTACAGGATTTTTATGAAAAATTGAATTATTCTCAGTGCAAAAGTGTACAAATCTGTTTTTGTTTGGTTGGCGTTGAGCTTCACTGTTTGAATACATAAAATAATATGATGCAATAATAAAATGCAATGTTGTTTGGGAGAACTTTTGTGAAATGAAAAAAAAAACAACTTTTTAGACCTGTTATAATCTGATGTAATGTACTAAAACAGAATTAATTTAAGAAAAAAAAAATAACATTTTTCACACAGGCTTGTTTTGCAGCAACAGTTTTTTCTCATACTGTGTTGTTGGAGATTTGTCCCAGAAATGTATTTGTCTGTCAGAGGCATAGAAATGCCATTAATTTTGAAGATAAATAGTGGTACGCTTGAGTGTACAGCCACAGTGAGTGTCTGTGTGCTGATCCGTGTGAGAACGGTTGTCCCTCGGCGTATGCATATATAAGCCTACTATACACTTTGAATCACTACACTGGCTTGTTCTTTCTCTCTCACACACACTCGCATACACACAGTGTGGCACTGAAAAGGCAGAGTCCCCAGTCCCTGTTATGCAAATAACATCAGCTCCTAAAACGGTTTGAGTGAGAATTAAACGTGAATTAAATGAGGCTTGGCTCCTTTCTCTGTATTTGGTCTGAAAGAGGCAAAGCCCGTCTCTATGGGAGATCCCCACGCCATTGCTATGCCTGTTATGGAATTGACAAGACGAGAAGTGACATAAATACCGTGGCCAGAGCTCAATCCAATTATGTGGCGTGGCCCGCCTCAATACCTGCTAACCATGCAGCGCAGCGCTAGCGTCCCCACATTCAGACGCCCTCAGAAATGAGACTGGCTGTATTGAGCTCCAAGCCCAGCTATAACCTTGGTCTCTTCACCTCAGCAAGCTCAGAGTCTGTGCCCTCAACCCGACGCCACAGCCATCAGTGGGGCTTAAGAAGGCCTTTGCACAAGGTCCTTCCCTGGACTCTCTGAAACCGGCCATAAAACAAAGTGCACTCTGCTATGCCACAGACCACAGCAGGACTCTGAATGAATGGGTATTTATAAAGTAGCATAGTGTAGAGACAGGAAGTATCTGCAGCAATATGCATGGCAAAATAAGCATACTGAGTATATGATGTGGATACGAAATAAAAAATATATCAAAATGCATGAATGATTGAATGACACGATTCAAATTCAAATTCCAATTCCAAATAAATAAAGCCAGACTAGGATCAAACCTAGGCATGTCTTTTACATAGGTATTATCATTGAGTCACTGCAAACAATTGAAGCAACAGGTTTGCTCAGGCATTGCATCACTGTTTGCTCCCCGCGTGAGTGACAAAGCCAAACTGTAAATACATGTGACAGGCACATCGGCTCCTCCCTCTTCCTCACCAGAGTTGAGCTTGTGTTTGGTCTCTGATGCCCATTTTTAACCACAGGCATTTACAAGCTCTTCTCTAAACAACCTGCCAGGTGCTTTAAGCCTCCCCCTGAAGGCCTGCACCGCGATATGAGACTCACTCCAATGAGATTAGCTCTGAAAGGCCTTCAATGGAAGAATGGACGCCACTCCAATGGGGAAGATTGTTAGCACAGCAATGTGTTTCTGTGAGCTCCCATGACCAATCTACAACTAATGAGCATTCACCGAGTGTGCTGCACGTCACAGAGTCCCCAGCCTCTGCTGGGACCAACACACGGGCCACTTCTCATATGTGTCAGACTGCAACTGCTCCAGAGAAATCATCAACAATGCCAGTATGTACTTATTAAAAGTATATGGTACTTTGATTACATGAATATGAGTGCATGTACATGTTTATGTTGCAACACTAGGTTCATTTGAATTGCATTAATGTTTTGGAAAATTAAATACAATTGGGTGAAGTGTATTTGAAAATATAATTAACTAACTAAAAATTAACTAAATAAACAAATATTAAAATAAATAAATAAACAAACAGCACTTTCCAAAAAAACAACAACCAAAAACTAACAAACTAATGAACAAAGGGTGGATTCAACCACAGACATACAACAGGAAAAAATTTTAATAATTTTAAATCTTTTTATATTAATTTATGGTTTAAATGAACACTTAACAAAAAATACTTTTGAAGAAAAATACAGGTTGAACAATTTATAAATCTTATTTTCAGATGAGCATTAGTAAATTATAACCTAATAAAAAGTTTACTCACAAAAACTAAAACAAATTAACACTGAAAAATGAATAAAAGTAGGTTTTGTGTGTGGTGTGGCGTGGCCTCACCCTCTGGCCCTTTGTTGTACATTGCGACTGAGGAACAGGTGCTCAGGGGCACAGCCTCTCAGTAGCTTTATCCAGGCCTTGTATCTCTCTCTCCTCCACAGTGAGCTGATGTTTAATGGAAAGTTAATATGGTTTTAATGCTTGTCGCCGCACTCCGACACCCAGGGCCCCACTAATCCACTCGGTTCCACATGGGCCTGGAAACACATGCTCTGGCACAGAGAGAGAGAGAGAGAGAGAGAGAAGAGAGACTGGCAGAAGAAATGGGTTTAAAGTACTGTCATGTTTCTAAAATGAGGCAGCTTTAGTAAAACATGTTAATGACCGAAAAGTGCATAAAGAGACACTGAAGGAATTATTGGATTTTTCTTTTCTTTTTCTTAATCTTAATCTTTTTGCAGCTCCATATGACCATTATTGTGTGGGATTTGTTTTACCCATAAATAAAATATCCAAGCAAAAGATATGCGTTGATAGTAAGACAATTGTTAAATAAATAACAAGGTTAAATACAAAACAAGCAGTTATATTTTCTTAAACAAAAAAACAAAAAACAAAAGAAACATTTGTTGGCAAAGATATCATGACAATAAAAAATTCGGTCAACCTAGAACAAATTAGTTAAATTAGGTCTGTCTCTCGTGATCCATAAACAATAATAATGTTTAGGAGCATCTGTGTTAAGTCCCTAAGAGTCTTAACTAGTTATAGTGAGGAAAGACACTGCTCCTTTACATGTGCAGCGGGTGGGTTCATGTTGTTCCCTCTATAGGCTAATAGCTTTAAAATGAGTCTTAACTGGTGTTTAATTCACTGACAGCTGTTGCATTGGTTAAGAGACAGGCAGCAGGCCGCTCTGTCTGTCTGTTCGACCAGGAGAGAAATTAGTTCTGCCGAATGCCCATATTCCCTCCCAGAGAACCATCTGCTTTACTTCAATACAATAGAGGGATTTTCCAAGGGAATAAAATGCTTTCAATGCAACAATTTCTCTCTTTCTCATTCCTTTGAGAAGGGTTTTGGTTAAAGTGTCTTATTTCCAGGCAAGGCTGCCACTCAGCACGTCTCTGTAGCACATTTAATAATTGGGTCTTGTATTGGTCGCATTTCATTATCAGCATTACAAAGGGCTGAATATTCTTTATAATAACAATCACAAGCATGCTCATAACTGGCACACCTGTTACATTAAAACATGCAATATGTATTTATGCAGGTCCATTATTTACTCTGTTTATGTAGTTACTGGAAAATAATTCAGTAGAATTATATATTTATACAACCAGTATATAATATTTTGAACTATCAGTTAAAGATGAACAAGAATGTCCGATTAACACAGATGCACTGACACAGATGATTTGAAATTCTAACATATACGTTGTGATCATTTAGATGAATGTATGAATAAGCAGTAGAATAATGAGATAGTGGGTGTTTAAATACCATTGGTCACAGGTCTTAGCGTGGCCCTCAGGGAATCACCTCATGTGCCCTTCAAGTCCCACAAACTCTTTGTTTAAAACTGCTTTGTTCTGCACTCATCTCTGACTTTAGGGACATACTGTCTCTGTTCAAACATTATACTTCCTAATTCCTAACATAATTATCAATAATTATCATATTATTGATTAATTCACTTAGACTGTATACGCATATAGCTGATTTTCCATAGGCTTTTTGGGTCGAAGCTTTACACAGTGACAGGCCTAGAAGGACCAGGATGCGATGCATGAAGGCAACTGGAAATTCGATTCAATTCAGAACGTTTTAATTCAACGTTAGTCGAAATACTGTTTATATTCCAAACAGAACTACAAATATGAAGTTGAACTAATGTCAGTGATTAAAATTCGCCCGTGTCTTACCTGTGGAAAGGCGCGCTTTTCAGGTAAGCTTGTTCCACGTGCTCAAATGTAAAACACACGTTTATCGTCTCAGATCTGAGCTCGTTGAAGTCAGCGGGGGACATTGAGAGCATCACAGTGATCAAACGCCACCAGAGAAAATCTGTGTTTAAGTCCTCCTCTTTTGAAAATCGTTTTATGCGTAAAGGCCACCTCATGTTCCCGGACCTTTAGCCTTGGACAACTGCAAGGACAAGATGGACCAGCGAAGTTATATATATATATATATATATATATATATATATATATATATATATATATATATATATATATATATATATATATATATATATATATATATATATATATATATATATATATATATATATATATACTCATATCTCATTAACACAAAAAAAAGCTGCAGGCCCATCTTGGCATTTGCTCAGTGGTTCTGGGGCTGTGAGGCCTATTACCCAACGAAGGCCAAATTATTATTACCAAAATAACTGTCAAGATATTTGTGTCAAAAATAAGAAAGCAGCAGTAAAATACATGTAATTTAACAGGCCAGCCTCAAAAGTCCCGAGTGGGAGTAAAATAGCAGCACTTTACCCAAGTGGAGGAAAAGTCCAATCAGAGCAGATGCGCAGAATCGTCTCAACCAATCCCAGCTCTAGTCTCCGTCTTCAAACAACCCCATGCGGACAAGTGAGTTGCGCGTGCACGTGGTCGCGTGCGTGAGCAAGAAACTTCAGGTCTTGTATAAAACCTGTGCAGTCCGACCTCGCAGTCCAGATTATTGCCTAGAGCGGTTACAGAAAGGAAAAAAGTTTATTGGAGTGGAGCAGTCATGTTCCCCTGCGGCGCTCTACCGCCGCCTTTCTATCCAAGTTTACTGCGCCCGACCCCGGCTCTCTCATCGCCCCTCAGCCGCTCTCTGCCTTCAGGCTTCCTTGTGGAGGACCTCCTAAGAATAAGCCAGCCTGTCAACTACCTACACCGCGCACTTTCCAGTAGGACGCCTTGCGATCTCTTCTCTGTAAACCCGGGCTGTGTGGGCGCATCTCCTCGTGCGTCAGAGCCAAGAGAGCGCGCTCTGCCCGCGCACCACTCCAGCCCAGTCTCCAGCCCCGGGTCTCCACACAGCGGCTGTCCCGAGGCTTCACACCTCAAGTTCGGTGTCAGCGCAATCCTGGCTCCCTCCACACGCAACAGTGAGTAACTCTGTCACAACATAGACTTAAATTCACTGTATCGGATGCTCTTGATAACTGTATGTGAGTTATTTGATTAAAATTGTTCCATTTTCATAAACAGAATGTAGCCCAACATTTGTACATCTGACAGGTCTTTGGATAAAAACATGCATGATAAAAAGTATTTCATGAAAGCATGGCACTTCACCAGGGGCCTTATGATGATATACTTTATAAGAGATCTGCACTGTTATTTCTTTTTAGGGTTATTTAGTGATTTGTAGAAAAGGCATTAAAAGAACCTTGTGCTATTTTGCAGGTTGTTCCTCTCCCTCGGTCCCCAGTCTACAGCCCAAATCCTTCCCTCTGCACTTCTTTGATGGGAGCCTTCATCCATTCATCAGAGCATCATATTTCACAGGTAAAACGAGCTTTTTCAAACAAGCATGTTTAGAAAAAGCATTTACTTCTATCAGTTAATTTCATATTTATTGCAGTTGGAACAAATAGAAGGATAAATATTTTGTTTTCATACACAACTAACATTTTGATTAAGATTAAACAAAAAAATCTTCATAAAGAGAATTTGAGAAGTTAATTTTTTTCACATAAAAACTGGGTCGTTGACAGTTTGTAGAGTGTCACCCTTTTAGCTTGGGAATCCTCCGGACAGCTCCGAATCAGCTCCGCCAATTTGAAGGTCTATTTAGGAGGCGCATTGACTGCTGACATTAGCACCAGTTGTCCTAATCTACAAATTAGTCCAGTTTGTCATGCCCTAAATATATTAGTCCCGTTTGTCATGGCTTAAATGTGAGGCGGGTATCTTCCCAGCTCTGGAACTCAGCTCCACTTCACGCGCTGTCGTTTTCCCACAAACCCCCTCTGCCTCCACAAAGGGTCTGCACCGTGACCAATAGGAGCAGAACCACACACACACTGTCCCACTGACACAGGTCTAGTCATAGGTCGAGCTAAAGTTTGGGTCACTCTTCTACACTTTACATAGCACAATGTATCAAAAAAGCTCTCAAAATAAAACTAAAAACCATAAAACATACCACTCACATAATCTGAATTTAAAACATGATGGTCGTTGTATTTACTTCAAAATGGTATAACTGTAACTCAAATATTGCCTTCATTCAAACTAAAGTGTAATTCAAGGAAAATGTATTTGTCTTTGGCTTTTGTGGTTTGTAATATTAATAACTCAACTAAATGTAATAAGTCAAGATCACCATATTCTTTATCTCATATAGTTGAGATTACTTAAATAAATAAATTGTAACACAAACTAATGCTAACAAGTGCATTTTAATTGCACCATTAGGTTTACTACACTATACTTGGGAGTTGAAAGTTGAAAAATGTTTCATTTCATAAAATTATTTACAAATTTCCAATTTAGGTTAAACATTTACCATCTACTAGTATATTTACAATAATGACTCTATTTATTGTAGTAACACTAAACACAAACAAGATAATTGAATAATCGTGCACTTCTTGGTATAGGCGTATGTTTTTTTTCCCAGGGGTCACCCACTCAGACCTCGTATTTCTAAAATCTTGGTGCTGCCATGAGTCCACAGTGAGTAGACTCCGTGTGTCAAAGATCCGCATTATACTAACGTGCCTTTAATTGGCCTATAATATACTAGCCTGTCGGCGGCCTTTTCCACTCAATTCATTACAACACAATCAGCATTCTCTGTGCATTTGCAGCTCATACAATCCCCCTTCATGCTCGATTAGAGGCAGTGTGAGCCGACCTCTGCGGTGCCACTCTCATTAGCATAGGCTCTGTCTCCGCTCGCTGACAAATTGGACTTTTAACAGCACATTTTGGGCAGAACAAGTTTATTTAATGCCACTTCAGGGAAAAATGGGGACAGACTAGACTTGCATTTGTATCCACACTTGGACTGAAATGGTTAATAACATAGGTGTTTAAAAAAAACAACTAATAAAAACAAAACTACATTAACAACACAAATCTTGTGTAAATCTACTGGAGAGATGATTACTCACCAGTGAAATAAGTATATATATTTAATTTATATATATATAATAAGTGTGTGTGTGTGTGTGTGTGCGTGCGTATATATATATATATATATATATATATATATATATATATATATATATATATATATATATATATATATATATATATATATATATATATATATATATATACTTGGATAGAGAGTACCTTGAGTAATGATTTTGCTTGCTTGCTGCAGGTTCCTCCCCCATAGTGCCTGTCCCAGGGACATTCTCATGGCCCCTGGCCCCAAGGGGGAAGCCCAGGAGAGGGATGCTCCGGCGGGCTGTGTTCTCCGACCTGCAGAGGAAGTCCCTGGAGAGGACATTCCAAAAACAGAAGTACATCAGCAAACCTGACCGGAAGAAGCTGGCCAGCAAACTGGGCCTCAAAGACTCACAGGTACATTCTACTCGTATAATGGCCTACGGACAATACAACAAGGCAATTTATGATGCTGTCATGTTAATGATTTAAATGTTAATCAAAATTGAAGTACCTTCAAAAACTTACCATTAACCCTACCCTGAAAAGTACTTTAATAATATAAATCAAATAGGCCTACAAGGTCTCACTGGGCTCCTCTTTATTGTTTGGATAAAAGGAAAAACTTCTCAGACATGTTTTGTGATGCCCAAACTAAAGCGTTTGATAAGTTACTCCTGGTACCTTTAGACAAACTCTGTTTTTGTTGTTTCATAGGTGAAGATCTGGTTCCAGAATCGCAGAATGAAGTGGAGAAATTCAAAGGAGAGGGAACTCTTGTCCACGGGGGGCTGTCGGCAGCAGACCCTCCCCACAAAAACGAACCCTCACCCAGATCTCACCGACGTGAGTCCAACGTACTGCCCCCCTGTGGACAGGCCTGGTACTGACACTCAGCAGAGACCACTATCTGCGCAGGACAGCAAACAGACTGAGCTGTACGAGTCAGACTCAGAAGAAATCAACGTGTCATAAAATCTATTAGCTGTGTTTTATCAGCCTTCAAACCCATGTGTCATATTTATGTACAGTGATGTAAATATTGTATGTAAGTTATTATGACAGTGTTAATAATTGGTACCAGTGTAGAACTAATATTTGTAGATTAAATCTGCACATTGTATTTTTTCTAATAAAATTATGAATTTTCTCTCCGTTCCATTGCTTAAATATTAAACAAAATAAATAATTAACTGGGTATCACAACATTGTAAAATGAACATATCTATACATGTTTAGACTATCTGAAGCAGAAAACATATCACTGAACAGAGCTAGTCAAAAAACATGACTTTATTGCCATTTACACTATGGATTATACAAGGAAACCGGAGCAACAAATGTAAGACATGACTGACATTGGAATTAAATACAAAACAAGTTATTTAATCTGTTTTCCTTTGTCAACATTCAGCTACAGAACAGATGACTGGACAGAGCCCCTGCTGTCATCTTGGTAAGAAAAACAAGGAATTTGTTATTAATGAGCAGCATTTTAGTAAGCAAACTTTTATTTACAAGAAAATAAAAACAATGACCAACTTCATGGCATGCTCTTGGACGTACATACGAACACAGTGGATTCTTCAGCTGAACCTTAGGACCTGGTTCAGCTCTGGGCCCTGATCAATGTTAGAGAGCCAAATCGTACATACACTATTTACAGCCAAGCGAGATACCACTTATGAATTAAAATGGCTACCACTGACCTCTGGGAAATGTGTGCCAATGATCCTACAATAAAATTACATAAAAACAAAGTGGTTGAAATGAGAACCATGGTCGTCCTCAAGAGCATCAGAAAAAAAGTCTACAAATTAAGTGCACATCTACAACAATTCAGCCATACAATATGGCTCAAAACCCCAAACTGCAAAATGTTGAGAAGATTTTTTACGGCTAAAGTGGAATTAAGAGCCTTTAAATATATACAATGTTTTGTGCCATGACAAAAACATGGATGTCTGTTAAAAGGAGATGAAATAGAACATAGATAACAAGTCAAAAACACTCAAAAACAAAAGACAAGGAAATGAAGGCAAGTTAAGGTTCAGATGAGAACTAATAAATTACCGTCTTTAGCCCTGATAATGGAAGAAAGTACTCAAGTATGAAAATGGTCGTGTGAGTTAGGATATGATGTTTGGATATCTTTAGATGTAGACGTGCATAAAACATCCGGTAATGGAGATGCATACTAGTGAACAGGCACGGTGGGCGGAGTCAGGCTCAAACACGTGGCACATCTACCCGACTTGTAATACACAGGTAGCAGTGAGTTTATTAACAGAATGCCTCGGTGTCTGAGGATGAGTGGGGTGGTCCTACTGCCTACTGTTGTTCTTTATCCTCTCCAAGCGTTTCTTCAGGTCATCCAGGTTAGGAGCGGGAGAGGAGGAGCGTGCGTGTGTGGGGGAATGAGAGTTGTGCTCCTGTTGGTACAGCTCTCTGGACTCTTTGAGCTGGGATAGTTTGCTCTGGAGCATGTCTGTGGAGGAGGCTACAGAGGGTTTGGACAGGAGGGGGCGCTGCTGAGGCTCATCATCTCCTCCGATGCTCTGCAAGAAACACAGAATACAGTCATGTTTGCAGCATACTTTTAATCTGCCATATGTGGTCAAGAAATGCATGTTAAAGTCAGACCAATGAGGAAATTTAAGCCTTAAAAAGGTGCATTGCGCAGCTTTTTTACTCGTTTCCATGGAGATGTTATTGCTTTGCCTGGTATGTTCCATGGTATGACATTAAACATATGCATCTATCATTTATTAATTATGGGTGTTGATCAAAAATACAATTCCTTTGATGAATAGGGGCAACTCTCCACAGATCTGAATTGTAACATAGCGTAGTGCTGTAACCTGCTCGTCTCCCCCATGATAGACAGGTCTAATCTATACTGTGGAACATTCTAGACAAAGCAATAACATTTCCATGGAGACAGGTACAGGTAGCAGACCCTTCACTCGAAATGTTCAACACTAAGCAAAGAAAAAAAATGCAATGCTTACTTTGAACTGTAAATTTATTTGGCCATGGACATTCACCAGGGTTCCCATTCTTTCACTGACAAAATTTTGACTTTCATGACCTAAAGTGATTTTTCCATGACTTTTACGGCACCCTACATCTGTAGAATTTAGCATAATTTTAGGTCTAAATATGAAATGTTAACCCTTTCCACTCACCTTATGGTTTGGCATTATAGTTTAACATTAAAAATACTGTCAGTGCATTCATTGTCATTTCTTTTAAACAAAAAGGTGCATAGGTTCAGGAATAATCAAAACAGCCTAATGATAACTTAACAGAAATTCCATGTGTAATTTACAATCCCTTGCAAAAGAGGTAGTACAAAAACTTCAGTCAAACTCACTCTAGTGTTCTCCAGGCCTTGTCTCTGTCGCAGGATCTTGAGTCTCTCATAGTACACTGCAGGTTTTAGCTCCTCATTGTGACTGCCAAGAGTTGAATCAACACTGTGCTGGGGCATCACTGCATACACATATTAACAGATAATAAACGTGATTATACAGTCATGCTTTTACTAAAAAGTTTGTTTCAAGCTTAGTATGAGACCGAAAATGAAAACAAGGAGGCGGTGATGAAGTGTACCTGATGATGGCTGGATGCGTGTTTTAGCCTCTCTCTCGGACTCGATCATCCGGAGGCCTCGCTCCACATAGCTCTGAAAGAACTGAGAGGTATTCTTCAGGAAGGGCTCCACGTCAGCATCAGAGTACTTCAGTTTATACTCGTACAACTCTGTCAGGCCCTGGAGGAAACACGCAGATTTATTGAGCTCAAAAATAATTAAACTACAAAATTATCATTTGTAGAGAAAGAGCAGACCTCTTTAGTGTTCTCCTTGGACCCAATCTTCTTGAAGATTTCAGACAAGATGTCGCTAACCTTTGCCTTTGACATGCGATCATCCTGGAAAACAGATCATAGAATAAAGTGAAGAGTGTAGTAACCAACACATCATACATACATGTAAATCATTTCTCTTTGGGATAAGTAAAGTATGTACCTATGAATCTAAACAGTTACCAGGTATTAAAAAAAAAAAAAAATCTCACAATTTTTCCTTCACAACCAATTACTCAAACTTAAGGGAAAAAGGGCACAAACCGCTCGTAGTCCAGACTTCTCATTCCCTCTGTCACTCTTGGGGCCGGACTGGTTTCCACAGTGTTTGACTACTCTCCTCAGATGAGCCTCCAACTCTGACTCATTACGATTTTCAATCATTGACAAGTGATCCAGGATCTAAAAGAGCATGACATTAATAATTACCAAGTCATCAGTATATTGCGCGAAATTACGAAATTGTCATGTTAGAATGTTATTATCTGCTCAAAAACATCCCTGGAGTCATGCTTCGTTTCATTCACACATATTTTAGTAATCCTGTAGTATTAGTCTATTTAAAAGCTCCATTCCACCTTGTGATGTAATTTAGTGGCAGTTTAAGTTGACCTCCATCTTTTACCTTTAGTTCAGTAGTGGAGCACTTTTTACATTACCACATGACATTACAAGGTGGAAAAGAGTGTTTTCTATTTGAGAGAAGAACACAGTCTTAATATGCAGAGTTTGTGTGTTAAACGTGTGAACGAAAAAAACAAAACTCCAGGTATGTTTTTTGATGAGGAAACATTATAACATAGATCAGAAAATCACGCAATATGTGATATTTAAGTGTTTTCGGCTCCGTGGATGTTACCTTGGCCCCCATGAGTTTGCACAGCGTGTGTAACAAAGTCTTGAGTGTTCTGTGCGGCACGTCACTCTTGAGCTGCTTCAGTTTCTCTTTGGGGAAAACCTTCATGAAATTGTGGGCATCGAGTAAGATTCGGTCCAGGTTAATACTGTTGATGGTCTCTGGGAGGAAGCGGATCATCCTCCACAGGCACTAGGCAAACACAAATCACAATGTATTTTAATGTAACTACTTTTGTCACTGCATAATTGCATTCAGCTTGAATGAAGATGGGACTGCGTTTACCTTCATGACCAACTCCGAGCACATTGGCGATCCTGCTGATGTGACTAAACTGTCCTGCAGCAGTACCAGCAGAGCACTGTCAAACACAGCAATAACAGTTCACATACAATATAAAAACAAATGTTACAGTTAAAAAGTGCACAGTGTAACTTTTCTGGTGGGCATCTTGTATTGAATCAGTCTTATTAATTGCAGATTAGTATCCACTGCTCAAAAACAGCTTGGACTAAATAAAGTGAGAGAGAGAGACCTCATTTTCCTCAACTCTTCTGACAGATTTCGTCTGTTTTGGTCAATTCTCTAACTGAATTTTAGTGCCCCCGATTGTTGTTTAAGAGAATGCAGCCTTGATATTAGAAACGTTTGCAAGTACAAATGCTGTGACGGTTACTACGACAACAATGCACAAATCTGTTTACATGTGGAAATATAGCACAAATGAGCATTTACAGTGAACAGACTCACGATAGATCTGACTTGTACCTGCCCGTTTGTGCCATCTGCTTATCTCTCTATAGGTTTAATGCCATACTGTGGAACATTCCAGGTAAAGAAAAAAACCCTCTATGAAACAGAAATTGAAAACCCTTGCAAACCCTCCACCTGAAAATTTGAAATACCTGAGAATGTTGGTCTGGTCAGACTTCTCCAGCACCTTGACCACCAGGAGATTGACAGAGCGGATCAGCTGCTGCCCCTCCTCTATGTCCTCCACTCGACCGTCCAGCATCAGTGTAATGAGCCCATGCATCAGGTCCTTCAGCACTCCCATCGATGCCTCTCTGGCCAGGGACTCCATTGAAAAGAGCTGAGAAGACAGTATATTATACTGGGGTTGCTAGTGACACTTTCCTAATACTTTGCAGCTGACATCAACATTCCCTGGGGTGTGACACTAACTGAAAGCACTACTATGTTAGAAGCTCTTGTTACTCAAATTGAACTTTAATCTGAGCTTTATTTTAACACATTCTGACCAGCAAGATTGACTGCAGCTACAACAGGTGAGTGGAGTTGTGCTTTCTTTCACATGTAAAATTACAGTTAAAAGCTAGCTTCAGTTTTATTTTCAACAAAAAGGTCAGAGTGACAAACACCTAAACAGGACCATGGATGTTTGTATTGATCACAGGCTCCTGAAAAAGCCATTTTGTATTTTTTCTTGAGATTTCAGATGATCTTGAAACTTTGTGTTTGATAAGGTGTGCGGGTCACAAATAGAAATGCATTATAGAAAGTCACTGCAAAATATCAATACAATTTTACCAACTAAAACTAAACTTACAGACAGCATGTTTCCTATGATGCAGCTGTACAGTTTAAAGATGTCTTTTTTGTCCAGCCGGTCGTCAGCCATGTGCGTGTTGTAGATAAGTCTGAGCTGCATGAAGGTGGCGATCAGGAACTGGTCAATGTGTCCTGACATCACCTCTGCTTTGTCCTCCTGACGCAGCACCTCATCAATCTGCACAGACCACAGTTTCAGAATAAAGCTGAAAGTACCTGTGCCATTACTGACCTCTTCTGGTGTCAATATAGAACTACAGCTCAAGATTTGAACATTGTAAAGAAAAAAACAATCCCAATTAATGACTTGGTGACATTTTTAAAGAAACAATAAATATCAGTATGAAATTATAAAAGGGTCTACTAAAGTTTCTTGGTTGAGTAAAGACTTAATCTGTGCATTGATTAGTGGAATGAAAGGCACTAGTTTAAAAAACCAACAAACAATAAAAAAGGTCAAAATTTAGTAGAAATACTACTAACAATATCTTCGTAACTGAAAAGGCAGATTCAACTGTGTAGTCAGTTACACAGAAAGTTACACAGTTAACTCGCTTCATGGTTTCGTAATAATCCTAACAAAATAATTATCTGTCACAGTCTTCTCCAATTAATTTGTTAGACATAAACTTAAATGTCCATCGTTATACATTTAAAAATTAGAAAAATGCACAATTGTGTTTACCTGTGCCAGTGCTTGAATGCTGGTGTTGATGTCTCCACTGGCCACTTGAGAAATTACAAAGTTAATAGTGGAGGCTGTGCTGTTGTGTAGGTCATCAAAATGAGGAGAGACTGGGCGCATTCTAAACAGAAAAAAAACAACAACAGATTGTCATTTACATTTCACTTGTTATTTACATTACACTCCATGACAATGGAGTAGTACTTGTCGATACCGGACTCACACACTGAGCAGATTTTGAAAACTGTGCAGTTCAAAAGAACACAAGTAAGGGACTCTTGGATTTTGTTTGTTTTTGTTTTTTCCCCTCAGGATTAATAAAGTATCCATCTGTGTTCCATGCACAACTAAAATGACAGAGTTTGTGCTGTCTGTACACTTACTTGGGCTCAGGGATCATGACTGGTTCCAGCAGTTCATCAAGCTTGAATTGCACCAGGTCTGGCAGCTCGCAGACATTGTTCTTATCTGTTTCAATCATGTCCAAGTCCAACTGGAACTCTTTGGGGATAGAGGGGTGGTCGCTGTGGTGTGCATTCTGACGAGATTGACTGGTGTGAAACAAAACAAAATGCTGTAAGTTCTATTGGGAAAGTTCCACATACTTGATCAGATCTCTTACATTACAATTAATTGTCAAGAACCACTTTACATAGCAGCAATAATCATACAACAACAGGATGCTCTGATTATTTGTGTATGTATGTACGCCAACAGTTATCACATCAGCAATTAAAGACCATGAGTAATTGAACTAGGGAATTTCAAAACAACAAAATTCCAAATGTAAACAAGGAAATGTTTGCAAAAGATGAGTCAAGACGGGTCAAGCGACTGAAAGACATCCACAGTAAAAAAAAAAAAAAAAAAAAATCAGCACGGACACTGAAAACAAGGGAGAAAGCGCTAGAATAATCTTATTCAATGAAGTTTGTAACACTCAGTTCTAGTCAGTGAGTGAAAAAGCAACAGGGGATCAACAGGAGCAAATCAAAACAGCTTCTTCAACAACTAGTGTTTGGAAATACCAAGTGTGGTAAGGGAAAAGCAGAATGTAAATAACAATGCAAGAGCACAGGATGAAAAACATAACAATAACCTTTGCTTTACCTACCAGCTTTTGTAACAAGGAAAAAGGCAGTTTAATATGAATACATTAATGCCTGTCTAAAAGAGCCATGACTGGGCAGCATTCCAGACAGAAGCAGGAGAAGTACTTACATCCTATACGTGCGATACATTATTCTGCTCCAAAAAGGAAGGCAGGCAGAGCAGAAAGGAGGAAATCACACAGGAAGAGAGATGGAGGGTTAAATAAAGAGGCTGCTTTCACACATTTAAATTTTAAATGCACATGAAAGCAGCCTGGCATGCAATGACAGTAGGTAGGAAAGAACAGGGTACATAGTAATCATAGTAAGCACCCCACAGACAATCAGCATGCAAAAGATAACTACTTTACTACACATTTAATGTTTGAAAGGCTCAGAATGAAAGCATGCAAGAGATTAACCCTTCTGTGACAGTAGAAACGTTACCCAATTTCTATTTAAACTTAACTCCTCTGCACATGTTAATAAACTTAATGTTACCAAGCTAAACTTGCCAAGCAGGAAACTATACAACTATACATTATAATGGTAGCATTGTCGTCCCCTTCCATTTTAATATAGTCCCAAACTATAAATACGTATCAAAGCATTAGCTCGGCCTTTGGATGGAAAAACATGACTTCAGTTAAAAGGGCTTACTTAAGTTTATTGGGATCTTCCTGGGCAGGCTTGCGGAGGAAAGTGCCATTGGGGTTGGCTGGGTTCTCCCTCTGTGTTCTCTCTGGGGCACTCTGTTTGACAGGAGCTGCAACAGTTTTCTTTGCAGAGCGCTTGATCCTCTCCTCCAGCATGCTCATGTCTTTCTCAGACAACTACAAATAAAACATTGAGTTTGCACATAAGGATTGAGTTTATATAGTGAACTTACTGAAAACAAACTGCTAAGCTAATTCCTTACATTTCCGATGAGTTTGTAGACCTGGTCACCGCAGACATTATACACAGCAACAACAGTGTTCAAAGCTGCATTCCGAACTGAGGTATCTCTGTCACCAATGTGAACAGCAATCTCCTTCAGAGACTTGGCAGGGGTGGGCTGGCATACGGTCATCCCAAAGCCCTCTATCAAACAGCCCAGCTCCTCCAGACATTCTGCGCCCAAAAGTAATCCACATTAAACAATGACCTAGACTTACTCATTTGGCTTAATTATAACAGATTGTACCCGCTCTCTGTTTGGAGTTTTTGGACTTTGTTCCTTCCATGAGGAATGGAAACACCTTGGAAGCCGGATAGACCTTACACAACATGCCAAGTATAGCACGGACATCTTTGCGTACAACATCTTTAGACTCTCCAACCTGCCAGGAGAGATTTATTATTGCATTTAGCATTTTTATAGTTTTAGTTTTAGTTTGAAATAATCAAATGGCTCACTTTAAGAATGAGGTAGGGCACAAATGAGTTGGCCTCATATTCTGTCAGAGGGTAGTTTTCACAGGTGAGCATAGAGAAAAGGAGCTTCAGATACTCCAGCACTTTCATCAACACTGTGGTGTTTGTGTCAAAGAAGCGCAGAGTGAACCACTTCAGGATCAGGTCCAAACAGCCAATTGTGGCCTCACTTTCACTCTCTAACCTCTGTCAAATATAACCATTAATGATGCAGTAAAAGTTAATGTTACAATGAATAGTTTACAGATATACCTCAATCATGACACCAATGGCCTTGACATGTCTCTGGAAGTCAAAGTGGAAAAGCTCATCAAGAAGCCATTTTGCAAAGCAGGTGGACATCTGCGTCTTCAATTGCTCAACATATTCATCTCGAGGAGTAATGAAATTCCATTTCAAGATCTACAAAACAGATCACCTTTAGTGACATTTTATTCAGTACTACTGTTTGAAGAACCCATTCAAAACCAAACTTTAAAAACTGCCATTTTAAGCTAAATAACTTATTATGGTTCCTATTGAATACAAAGCAATCAATTGATATTGATATTTATTGATATTAATTTCTGTATTGGCATACATACCTTCAGCTGTTTTTCTTCTTTAATTCTCTGCTCCTTTGCATTAGGAATAAGAATGAAAATTGGCCCAGACTTGTCCTCTTCATCCTTTAAGGCTTTGCCTGCTGGCTTCTTGGCAGCAGGCCCCTGTGTGGCACAAACAACAGTGAGAACAGGCATCTACACAGAAGGAAGAGAAAAGAAGAAGGCTGTGTGCTTTTGGGTGGACAGAGACGATAGAGGAAACGTGCAACACAGCTCCATGCAGTAGTGATCTGACATTTATTCCTTCAAAAAAGGTAATTAGTTCAAGTTCAAATTGTTAAGAAATTTACACTGTCACCAGACCATGTGCACTCAATTACGCTTTTAGTGTCGATATTAGTAATTACAGATACACAATAGACTTAGACCATTGGAGGTCCAGACGGAGAAGAGATGGACGAGGGTTAAAATATTTCACATTGAAGTGTCTAGTTTAACTGCTCACTCGTGTTGCTCTTGAACTCCAGTCGGAGTGCCTAGGAATTTTTATTTGTGTAGGTAACAAAGTTTGGCACTGTTACAAAATAATGCAGGCCCAAGAAATACAGCTGCATAAATTTAGAAAGGTGCAATGATTCTTGTGTGAGTTTAGTAACACAAATGAGTTTCAAGCAACACTGGAGTGAGCTTTGTAATGACACTTGTTACACTTCTACCTGCTGAACGCCAGCAGCAGCCTTCCCTTTAGCAGGAGGCTTTTTACTAGCAATACTGTCCTTGTCCTTGGAGGAAGGAGGGGGGTTTGGAGCTTCTTCAGGAGGGGGAGGGGGCTAGGCGAGTAGAAAAACACGACATTAACTCAAGTACAAATGAGGACATAAAAGATGATGACTTGGCAGTATTAATGGCAGAGTGAGCACTGTGTGTAAAGCATTCCACTCCAGTTACCTTTCTAGCAGCAGGTGCACCTCCTTTAACTTTCTTTGGTTCTGGTTTACTATCAACTTCCTCAGTCTGACTTCTGGAAGCTACAGAAAAAAGGTCTTTGAAAGGCATCAACTTAACAAGAATCGTCAGACTCATAAAAGTGAACAAACCAGAGGGTGCTCTGCTCATTTCTTTTCCAGCGGCTTTAGGGGGCGGGGCAGGTTTGGCAGGCATTACTGCTCGGGCCTTCTCCAACATGGCTACCACCTGATCTTTTGAAGCAGGCTGGACAAAGATCATCAATTAATATACAATAAATATATGTGAAGAAAAGAAAATTATTTTCTTACTTTGAGTTTGCCGGTAGCTTTATTCATCTTGTCATAACCCAAATGCATCATAAACATAGGCAAAGCATCCTGGGCTTTTTTCCTGACATCCCCATTTCTGTCCTCCAAACACACATACAACTGGGGCACACACAACATCAGATCCCCTGGCACGGTCCTGAGGCTTGGGAGCTTCTCTGCCAACCAGCCTAAGAGCTGCAGGATTAAACAAGATTTAGTATTTCAATAAAATACAACGAGGGCTGCAAGTGACGATTTTTGCTTAGTGTGGTAATCAACTGGTCTGCACAAAGAATCTGAATTAGATTTTATTTAAATAAATCTAGGCACTTCTTGATGGAGCATATTTCCATATGAGGAAGGTTTCTCATATAAACCACAAAACATGACAAGTGAAGGCACAATGTATTGAGCTGTGCCACTGTAGTTTCACTTCACTACAGTATCACATCTGGGTGGTGTCCAGCTTTTCTGTTCTAGGGCTGGGGGGGGGAAGTATGTCAGGATCACTATAGAGTTTATTCACATTTAAAGTTTGGAGTGAGTTTGTACAATATATTAACCCTTAAAGTTATACATGCATTATAGTTACCGGCAGAAACGTGTGAGAGCGCTCACTACCGCTATCAATAGAAACATGTGTGATCTTCGTGTGTCTCAAGCTTCTCTCATAAAAAGTTGTTTACTTTTTGTAACTTGGATTATAAAAAATGAGAAGCACAAAAGGAGAGAAAGGAGAAAAGGTGAGGAGCTGCAGCTGGAACAGAGAAGGAGGAGGAGCAGTCAGATGGCACCGCACACACTCACACAGAGGCAGATGGGCACTAGACTTTAGGAAAAAGCACCCTGAGCTCTTTGTATTAATTGGTTTTCACTTAAACCTGCAAGAGCGTCAGGGCCACAATTGGCTGTAGACCTGCTGAATAAAATGCACTTGCCTTATTATCAAGATCGACCAAGGTAGAGATCGGGATCTATCAATCTTTCAATTTTAGGCACAGCCCTAGTACAAAAGTCTTCAGAACAACCTCATAGCTTAATTTGTACCTCTTGTCGGAGGAAGGGGTTCTCCTTCTTAAGCTCCTCGGACAGCTCCTCTCCCTCCAGCCACTCTTTCATCCCAGTCTGCTCCACCCAGGCCTGCAGGGTGGTCATGGCAGCAGCCCTGACATTAGCCTGCAAGAAAAGAACATTGCCAGGACAAGTAAATGAGCAAATTGTCTTTTTTAAAATCAAATACTCACCTTACTATCTCCCAATACTGTGATGACAGGAATGCCAAGAGCTTTAATATGTTGCTTCAGTCCTGGCCCCATTGCTGTAGCAAGCTGCTGTAAGATAGACAGGGTCTGCTGGACCTAAAATAAGACACACAAAGTTTTTGTAACTTAGCATTAGGGTTATAGTAGACAGGGCAGGCTAAAGACATCACAATACTAACCAGGATTTTGTTTGAATCACCGAGTCGTGCTTTCAAAGACAATGGCAGGTCCCCAATATTGGCAGTGATGAACTTGGCCTCAGAGATTATGGCTGCCGTCTCATCCAGGCCCTCCTTTCTGATCTTCCAGTTCTTGTCACCAATTTTAGACACCAAGTCAGAGGTAACCTTATCACTATAAAGTAAAAAAAAAAAAACTTTAGCTAAAAAAAAAAAAAGGCAACAATGTTTGGTTGTTTTTTCAATTTTTACTCTAGTGAAAGTTGAATACCTGATATCAGTTCTGGGCAGTAGATCCATAATGTCCCGTTTGCCACCATCTTCTTCAGCCTCATCTGCATCCTCGCCCTCTTCTTCCACTGCTCCCCCTGCCTTCTTTGTAAACCTGGTTGGGGCTGGTGGAGTTTGGCCCTGAGTCTAAAAGTAAAGGAGCATACATACACATAATACAAAAATATAATTTTAGTAGTAACTTTCTATTGAACTGTATACTTCTTAGATTCCTAGACAAACATAACTGAGCCAAAAGGGAAAATAGTTTGACATTCTTTAAATGTGGGCTCAAAATAAGCATTACCTTTTCAAATTCAGCGTCAATCTGTGAGAGGAGAGCAGGTTTCTCATCTTCAAAGAACATCCTGAGTGGAGCTCCCATGTAGAGGTACATGACTCCCAGCAGAGTGATGGCTGCAGTTCTCACAGCGGGGTTGGTTGCCCCCAAAGCAGTCTTCACATTATTAATGAATGCTTTCACATTAATTCTAGGAGAAAATAAATGGCTGATTATTTTACAGCAACTTCACATGATAAAAAATGTAATTTGAAATTATTGAAATAGACAAAAAGGTAAACTTTGAAAAAGTACCCAGTAAAGCCAAACTCCTTAATAGCATTAGCCAACCAGTTCAGTGATTCAGCCTGATTCTTTGGATTCTTCTGGGCAAATGCCATAGATACAACCTGAAAACAGAAAATGTAAATTTATTTGCCACATGCATAGAACAATACTGAAAAAAGTTGGACTACAGACCTGTTCAGCCGTCCAAGGAAGAGAGCATGCCTCTCCAATAGCAGTAAGGGCTTCTTTAGCTTTTCCACCACATTTAATGTCTCCAACTTTATCCACCAATCCATCCAAAACCACAAAGGCAGATGTCTTTGAAAACTGCCCTCTTTGAGCTACAAGTGCTACAATGTGAAGCTTCATTTGCATGACCTGTTTTCAAAATAAAAATAACCTCATCGCATCTCAACTGTGAAAACTACCATCTGACAGAATCACATCAAAATGCAATAAGGTAAAAGAAATTTTTAACAAACCTGAAAGTTTGTTTCTTTCCAGCCTGGTTTTTTCGCCAACATCCTGACTAAGGCCTGGCAAGGCATATCAGCTTTGTCCATAGTCTCAACAGCCTAAAGAAACAATGGATACATATTTGTCTTTGGAAAAGTTGGATTGTTTCCAGTTGTAGTTCAATTGCAATAACATCAACAGCAAAAATAATCATCAGGCTGAATCAGTTGAACAAAACTCTTACGCGCTGGAAATCTTCCATACTCGCAAGCCGCTCCTTCCAATTTGCAGAGTCTAGCTGCTGTAGACAGGAGGCTGGAAGTACACCCCTAGCCAGGTCTTCACAGGCCTCCGGCTGACAAACAAAAATCATACAACAGTTTTAAGTTTGTATTATGTGTTACAGTTCCAGATACAGAATTTCCAGATTGCAAATGCATGCATTGCTTATGTCTTTGAAGACAAACACAAACAGCTGTTCATTAAATGGTCAACCTCAAGCCAACTCACTTGACATTAACATGAAGATAAAGGTGACTGTAACATTTATATGAATAATGCAAGCTGCATAGCTGCTGATTTGGAATCTTCTAAAGAAGCTCATTTTTAGGGTGGAGTCTGTTGTGGCTAGGGTACAATGAGGTCACAGCAACATGACAACTAACCCAAAGGTCGTATGGTTTCTTACATACCGTAAGTTCACTTTCGGTAAACTCTTTTGTTTCAGAGGACTTCTTGGCTTTCCCAGCAGCAGCAGTTGCAGGTTTTCCTTTCTTAGGTGGACCTGCACTGGGCTTTAAAACGAAACAACAAAATTATTATTATTTTTTTTATCATTTATGAAACTGTACGTATTTTGTGCCATCTTCATTACCTTGGTGGCAGACACGGTGGACTTCTTGGGGGGTGCAGCAGATTTGGGAGGAGCCTCAGCAGGAGCTGATGCTTTAGCAACCGGTTTCTTCTCTGCTGCTGCACCTCCTCCACCAGCACCCTTCTTTCCTCCAGGTAGCTCCACTTTGTCAGCGCACTCTTTAATCTGTGCAAAACAAGATGGTCCTTATTTCATCATACCATGTACAGCCATTTGACTAATGCATTTATTTATGCAGTTATGAGTTACTTACTTTGTCCAGTTTCAGTTTATCCAAATCAGCGAGGAAAGGATTGACAGCCTTTTCACCTACTACTTTCATAGCTGTACCCAAAGCTTCGAAAGCAGCATCTCTCACCTCTGGAGCAGAATCATTCACTTGCTAAAAACACAGAAAAAAAACACACAAAAAAAACAAATCATAATTTAACACTACTGTTTGTATTATTTGCTATGCCATAATACCATTATAGTTAATACAATTTACCTTAATGAGAGCTGCACAAAGGGGTTTAAGGACACTCTTGGGTAACGTTGCCTGGGTACAGTGTCTTATAGAACGTGCAAGAAATAGAGAGGCTTGCTGTTTTATAGAGGGATTTTTGTTGTCCATTACAGCTAATATATCTTCAGACAGGTTTTGGAGAGTAGTCTAGGAAAATAAAAATTACAGTGTAGAAACTACATAGTACAAAAGTAAAAAAAAAACAACAAAAAACTAAACACTTACAGTGAGAAAAATTGCATCAATTGCCTCCTGTAGTGCTTGTACCACCTGTGGTTTCTTCTCCTTGAATTTTTCAAGAATAGTTGGCACTACCTAAAAACAAATACATTTTTAAGATCAAAGCAAAAAAATTATAATAATCCAACAGATCAACATAAGCTAGAAAAGACTCCAAGCTACTTACTTGTCCAGCGTATTGCCCAAATTTCTTTCTTAAACCTGTGGCCAGGCCTGCTAGACATTTAGCTGCCATAGATACCAACATTACATTCGCATCTTTTCCCACAACCTGAAATGAAATGATATAAAGACATAAATACAATAAAATATGCGTGAAGAGGAGAACACAGGATTTTTACCTTTTTCAATGCCCTAACAAGATCACCATAGTCTCCATTTTCTAGTTTGGGATTCTTGGCCAAGGCCTCCACAGCTTCAAGAGCCTCCTTTCTCTCCTGCCATTTCTTAGCCTCCTGTGAAAAGATTTGGCAAAGAGGTTAGATGTAACCTGCAATCAAGCAGCATTTTATTGTATGATTATTCAAGAGGAAACTTAACAAACATACAATTTTTTCATAGAAGTCTTTGGGGATCTTGGAAAGAATATCTACAGCCTCAAGCAGTTCATATGGGTCAACTGCTGCTGCAGTTTCCTCAACTTCTTCCCCTAAAATCAAATCAACATAAAAAGAAGTGCTCCCGAAATCTGAAAATGTTAGATGAAATTATCAAACTGATTTTACCGTCTGACTGATCTCCTTGAGCTTGCTGCTGTTCAAACTTGGCCTTCATGTCCTGCTGGGAGCGAAGGAACCTGCTCTGCTTGGGTGGAGCAGTGGGCAGCTTCACCCATTCTTCCTCCAGCTCTTTCAGCTGTAATGGTACACGATACAAAGGGTGTCAAACAATACAGAAGTGTACTGCGATATCTTTTCCTGTTCATTTAATCATCATATGAGCAGTACACACAATACAAACAGATCCCACCTGCACAGAGTTGATATTCTGCAGAGGAGGTCTAAGAGCATCTCTGATCCATTTGTAGATTTCAATGGCAAGCTGTTTTGCTTCATCTCTCACTGCCTTTTCTCTGGATTCAAACTGTTTGGGCAAAATCTTCACCACTGGTTTCAATGTAACAATCTTTGAGCCAAACTCACTGGGCGGCAGAAAACACAAATTTAGGTAAGTAAGTACAGTAGAACACTTAAAATTATGTGAGTATTTAGCTATACTTTCATGAAGCACTGTTTATTAGATATTGCATCCCACCTAAACCTCACAGTTATCCATTTACAGGCTGGTTGTCTTACCTTAGCCCCTTTCTGAGAGTTTCAAGGCAGGCTACCACAATCTTGGGGTTCTTATTATCGAGGCCTTTGATCAGTTCATCCTGAACAATTTCTGACTTCTCAATTTCAATGTACATCAAACAGATGTCTGTGCCAAGCTCCTTAGCCTTAGCTTTTGGTTGGTTAAACACTTTGGTGACAACACCAGACACCACCTCTCCAGCAGTTCTGTAAAAGAAAACACATTTTGCATACACCAAGTTACTTTGTTCATTATGTAATGTGATCACATTGATACTTTCTGCCAGTTAATGTTAATGGGTTATATAAATATTTCTTTTTTTTGTTGGTTTTTACTTATATTTTGCTTAATATTACTTTCATGCAATAGTATACAATAGTTGTAGCAATTGTCTGTAGTGGCCCAATGACCTTGCGACCATTTAAATACTATTGGCAAACCTAGCCGCAAGCATCTGTTGTAAATGAGTGTCATGTTGCACTACTAGTCAATGGGGGTGGGCAAAAACAAACCGACTTTAATAGTCGATGACACATACACTTTAATTAAAAAAGTAAAATCAGAACACTGACAGAGTTATTTTGCAAACCCAAAACACGATTATAAGCCTATATACTAAATATAATACAACTTAATTCAGTATTGTTTTTTTGTCTCTTGTTTTTCCTTGCCAAGAAGGAAGGATTAAGGACAAGGGTTGTTTGAAAAGAGATAAGATTGTTTAAAAAGCAGATAAATGCCATTTGTTACATGGTGGTGTAGTTCTATGCGTTTCTTTTTCCAAACAAAGAAGTCAGCACAATGAAAGACGAAAATGCACCAATAGAATTTCAGGGCTCAGCAAAAAATGAAAAGTCACCAGAGAGCTCAAAGTTCAAAGCTTGAAGGAGGCTGACGAAGGTGGAGACTGTTAATCAGAGAAGGTCTGAATGACTTTTCAAATGCCATCCGATGGTCATAATCTGAGCCAGTGATCTGCCAATTTAATATTGCCTAAATTACCCGCAACAATGAAAAATGATGAAAGACATTAAAGACTGAACAACTAGGGACAGCAGTGATGAATCAAAAGAACTAGTTATTGTGTGACGTACTTGCCAGCCACATGGGCATTCTCAATAAAGGCTAGGGCCGCCTCCAAGCCTTTGAGCTGAGCCACGGCGTTCGACTCTGTGACAAATTTCTTTATGAGTCCCAAATACTTTCCCCATTCTGGACTCTTCTCGTCTTCTATTCTTTGAAAGAGCTTTAGGGCTTCTTCATAACCGTTTAGACGTGCCTTCCACACCTAAAAACAGAGCAGTAACAAAGTGTTAGAAAGTTGTAGGATTACGTAACATACTGTACTTTGTATGATATACATAATATTCTGCTCTGCATTTCAAACCTTCAATAAAAGCAATAATTACACACACATGAATTAAAACCACAGTAAATAGGTGAAAGGTGAGGCCTATAAGACTGAGTATTGGCACCAGGGTGGAAAGGTGAAGGGTAATAACATTTTTTTGTTGTTCATTCATTTAAAAATTCTGCAATAATTTATGCCACTTAATTCAACATGTGTTTATTATGGGCAACCCAGCAGAATAATCACAATGTGATTATTACAATCCTGCAGTTGTGTTTGAGAAAGACAAACTGAAACTTAAGCTTTTATGTCACCTGAGCGAACAAACATCACTTTGAAGTTATTGTGCACTGCCATGGTAACAATGGAGAGAGGTCAGAAGCAAGATGTAGACAAGGAAATGCTGCTCACCTTATGTTCACATTTCTGGTCAATGGGAAGCTTCATCCACTCACTGTCGTCCCCCATGGTGGCCACTTGGGGGGTAGGCTTCCCCAAATCTACTTAACTGTAAAACACAAAAACAAAAACTTCAATTAATAAACCAAGTAATGTATACTTTACAGGAAAATGCATGATACTATAGTACTCAACATGGTTCAGTCTTAGATTTCCGCCCAAGATCCTTTCAAAAGCATAAGCATGTGATCAGCTAATGCACTTTGAAGGAGGAGCTGAAGCTTTTGTTTATATTGATCCAAAAGATTATGTCAAATAGACCGGGATCCATTACCAAACTTTACGCACACATTACAGCTATGCTAAACCATCATACATTATCTTGCTGCTCAATACTAGTTTTAAATAGGCTACATATTTTGTATTCTTTAGATAAAAGCATGTGATTTACCGCATATAACATAACACCTACTAATTTAATAAGCTTTAATACAACAGCCTCCACGTCTGCATGGCGACGCACCAGGAGTGCCCGATGAGCCGTCATTAAGACTATAGTGTATGCATCGATATAACTTAAAACCATCAGTGAAATTGTAATGAGAAATAAAAAAAAATAATAATACATGTTTTCTTTCAAACTTATAATTGACTGAAATAACTAGCTTTGGCTAACTTAGCGTAGCAACTGTCCCTGCTGTTGCTAACACATTCACCCGCTCATTTCTGTTTAAGACAGCTGGAGCGATACATTACCAGAGAAACAAACATATGGGGTAAATTCATGAGAGTAATAAGCTAGTTCTTTAACAGACCTTTTGGGTGTATCTTTGGTTATCCTCTTAGAATCAGAAATATAAGCTAACCTTTCATCCGCGCCAACAACCAGGCCTAACAACGCACTTTGCAGCGACATCGCACAAACACGACAGCGCCACGGGCTAAAACCGTCAAATCTACACCTAAATGCCACACTGCCAAATTACTTTATGTTTATTGTATACCTACCTACTGTTTCTAGTAGACAATGCAATGCTTGCTGTCCACTTAGACGCAGGCGATAATGGAATCACACTGAAGCAACCCGATCCCAGCTTTATACAAGCGTTGTCACTGTCATTGCAAATACAATTTTATACTTCCGTTTGAGCAAAATAAATGTTAACATTTTTAACTTTATGGACGACAAGAACCACGAAACACATAACAAAACGTGCGTTGTTGTATTTGTAATAGCTACGTCCCTAAAAAAAAATAATATTTTTCATTATTCTCTGTATCTTACTGACTTTGTTTGATATACTTTAATTTGGTATTTCCGGTTTATGGTATGTTACAGTTAGTAAATTTACGACAAGTTTCCAAGGGCGGTGAGGCGGAGACTGGGCCACCACCCTGACAACAGCGTTTCTATGATCATTTAGACACATCACAGCATAAAACTCACTGTATGAGTTAATGCAAAACAAAGAACAAGAGTAATAGCAGAAAATATTGACTCGTATCCATAATATCACAAGTAGAGCGTTTACTTCACACACTGAAGCAATTTAAGCGCTTCCTTATTTTACACTGCACTTAAATCTGATTGGGTGTATTTAAACTGAGCTCCTCCCCTACATTATACATCAATTTCCCCATTGGCTTAAACTAGTAACTGATGAATGGTTTTCAAGTGTACGAAGTAACTCTTGCTCTTTTGGCCTATTGCTGTAGAAAAACTGTACTCATACTCTATAGACTACATTATTTATAATTATTGTTTTCTTTATTTTTGTAGGTTATTTTATCAACTCCCCTGTTTATTCTTGTGCTGCTATTCCCCATAATGTTACACCTGATACGCCATATAGTAGCCTACTTCTGTGTTGTACTTTTTACCTGTGCTAAAAACTTTCTAAAAGTTTAAATAAATAAATTTAATATAATAAATAAATATTTATCGGGATTTGAAGTACTAAAATGCGGAACCATTGTGCGCTGTTTGGGGATGCTCTTTAATGTAACTCAAAACATCTCTTGTTTCCATAGCAACCTCTCCACCATCTCAGGAGCATCAATCGTTCCGAGCTAGAGCTACCGCAATAAACCATCAAATCAGCTCAGATACGACTTTCACTTATTATTCACAGATTGTTTGTGATACTAAAATCATACATATACTCTGGGCGTGCCTTTTAATTTGGACCACCAAAATGAGTCGCTTTAATTCCATGGTTCCTGTCGAAGAATATCTCGGTAGGTTATGTTAGGAGACATTTTGGCTAGCTACTCGAACAGCCACAACATCGGGATAAATTGAAGCGTTTGTAGTTTGGGGATGTCAGATTTTGACATTACATACATTACATTTACGCAATGAAAGGGTTGGGATTTGTACTTATAACGTAAGATAATTGTGTTAATTATTATTTATATTCCAGCGGACAGTAATGTGATGTTCTACTTATGTGATGCTGTGACCCAACTTTTGGAACATAAAGAAGAATACACGCAGTTTGGTGTGATCCGTTATTTTGCTGAATAGTAAGTATAAATGTAAGCAGCACAACTTGTGTTTTGTAATGTCATGCTAGTAATATGTCTAAAATACGTGTACAGTTTCAGCAGTGTGAAAAACAGCAACCACATACTCTTCAGAGAATATAGCTACATAAAGGCTACTCCTCACAACAGAACATCTTTCATCAGAGTATTCTGGAGATGCTACAGACAGATTGGAAAGAGTGGTGGTGAGCTACGAAATTCTCTTAACCAGTGATCATACTGAAAAATATATTTGTTATTCTAACTTCATTTGTCATGGTTACATTCAGTAGATATTGAATGAAAATTCATATTAATTCCTATGATTTATGTGCATCTTTAAAAAATGAATTTACTTCCATCTTTCTTACCTTCTTATGTTATTTAATTTTTATTTTCAGATCTATTGTCTATGCTGGAGTACAGGTCCTTGCTACAACTACTGTGTCCTGACTTTCCCATGGAGGTAGTGCAATGTGCAGCCCGGTGAGTACGCTGACAAAGTTCGTCATTATACCCTAAGTCGATCACCACCAGCAACATTTTCACAATCTACACAAACCAAAAAATAAAATAAAACCAAAAAATAAAACATTCCAAATAAGTTACAAGTTGAAGTCACATGCCACACAATATAACACACATCTGTCCTGCTTTGAAGGATTGTCCTGATGGATGATGCTATAGATTGCCTGATGTCCTTTTCTGACTTTCTCTATGCCTTTCAACTACAATTGTACTACCAAGGTATTTCTGGGTTTAGTTTTTCTGTGCTGCTTACTTAAAATTTACTGTGAATGACAAAAAAAAATTACATTTGCAATCTTTGTGTATTGTGTAGAGTTTCTGGAAAGCATCCTGGAGATTTATCAAGATTTGCTTGCTGGAAAGAGTCCTAACACAGTCATTGTTCCCACCTCCACATCCGTTGAACAGCTCCCTCCTGTGGCTGCAGAAGAGAATGACAAAGAAGAGCAGCAGCAGGATGGAGTCGAGACATCAACTCTGGCACAATGTATAGAAGCCCTCTGTGACCGCTTCAAACACAAGTAATAAAACTACCTATACCAGTGTAGCTCTGTGGGAACTTGTATTTAATCCACATTGCATTAAGAAGTATTAAAATGTTTTCTGTGTATTTTAGTTATCCTCCTAGGTCATGTATGAGAGACATCCTGAAACAAAATGACAAAGTCTCATACTACAGCTTTCTCATGAGCTTGGCAAAACATGAAACTGTCAATCGAACAATTGGTAAGCTATATGCTCTATAACATAAGATTATCTATATTTTTTCATGAATAGTTTCCACTGCCATCAAAATTGTCTACACCTGTCCATGATGCTTGCTAAGGTAAAATCTACTTGAGTTATACAGTATAAGCTTTTATTTTCTCTATATTTAGGAGCACTACCAAGCAAAGCTGAGCTGCTCATTGACCCAGAGATGGACCAAGAATTAGACAAACTGTAAGAAGCATTCCGTTATAATCCTGTATCAGGTCCATACCACATCGCTTTTGTGTTGTTTACGATTATGTTGTCTTCTAGAATTACACAGATCTCTGTGAGCCCAGGCAGTAACAGCAGCGGCAGTGCAGTGGGGGCCCTGAAGGAAGCCCAGAGGAAAGCCTCTCCTCGAAGGAACATCCACCACAAGAGAAGGATGGAGGTGGAGAGTGATGGCTCCACAGAAGAGACTGACTCCTCTGAAAACTGAACTTACGCCTCGAAGCAATCATGTTTTTATTGAGAGAGCAACCAGTATGTAAAACATGCCATTATTTAAATGTTGTCTAATCAAGTACATTTCTGAAAATGTTTCAAAGCGGATTATACAAAATTTTTGCTAACAATGCTGTTTTTGTTTCATTTTTTATTAGGTTTTATTTTTTTGTGTCCTAGAAAATGTTGTGGGATTTACCTCTGGGTCACTCATCTCATGCATAAAACTGTGTTTAAAAGTATTCTACATATTACTTATTTATTAATATGAAATTAATTGAATTTACTAACTATAAAAAGTCATTGGATATTGGTTTCTATCTCTGTCTTGTACTTTCTGTTGTAGTATTGAATAGAAATTGGTGAATACTTGTATACCTGTACAAAAAAGTGCATATCATTTTGTCAAACACATAGACAAGGCAAAACAAATTACTTTGAATTAACATTTACATTTTTTCTGCTCAATGAAAATACCAAACATGGGAGGATATATCGCACTCTTTCCAACATGTATTTAATTCAGCTTTTTTAGTTGTAAACATGGTTTATTGACAAGAACTTTGTTAAACAATTCTGCATATTGTCTCCATTTGACAACATTAATATCATGCAGTGTTACACCCATCTTTTGGTCAAACTGACGGCATACAATAATAACTCTATACAAACATACATACACTTTCTATACAGGAAATATACTGTGTGATGATGGTTTATTTACAATTTACCATAATGGCAGAGTCACATGTGAACAGACAAAAAGGACATTTTCTGGTGGATCTGGTGCCACAGTTTCAAACCAAACCATCAGTAGCACATTGTGTCATATCTATATAACTCTCAAAAACACTGCACGTGGTCTTAGGCTGGAGACATTTGAAAACAGAACACAAAAAGACACTAAAAAAGTCATATCAGTAACAGAAAAGTAAAGATAGGCACTATTTTCAGAAAATACTACAAGTCCAGGCTTAATCTCCATTGCTGTATTGTCAGACATTGTTTTTATGTGACTGTACCAAAATCATGCTGTTCTTTATAAAATGGAAATTAGTTCTTATATATGTTTTGCTTTTCCAATTAAAAGGTTAATTATTAGTCAGTCCTCTTTTTCTTTAGGGCACAATGAAAGTAAGAGGGGCTGGCTCACCAGGTCCACGCTGACATGCAACTCCTTTTTTCTGTGCTTTTCACAAGTTGAAAAACGCAATTAACTTACTGTATATACAGAATGAGGACATTTTATTTTGATAGTTATTACACAAATCTTATTCTATTTTAGAGAGTTTTTCATCAAATCTACTACTAGAATTTTGGTTTATATTAAAGCTGACAATGCAGAAAAAGCCTGAGCTGAGGATGCCACTGTCTGAGACATCACTGCAGTGGTCCAGTCCACCAGGATCCTTGGTTAAAGACAGAAATTGCACGCCGTCATTTAGGCCTTATTCACAATTAAAGGAAAAGAGCTTTGCATACCTTGGTAGATGAAAAAAATAAGCAGCAAAAGTAAAATTAGGCACCTTCAGACATTTCAACAGTAGATTGTCATGTATAGATAATGTTTATAATTTACATAGTTATGCTTATTTTAGATGAACCCTCATTTGTGCAAGAAAAAAACCCTACTAGGTACACTGGTCCTCACCAAATGTAAGACAAAGCCATTTTGTTATTTTGGAGAATTTTGCTCGTTCTGTATTTTGTCCACTGTATTTTGACAATAACACACAATATGATAAGCAAGGTAACCATTAAACTGTTTTATGCTCGCCCATTATTGAATATGTATCTGTGCCAACTGTCATTTTTCGGAATTGTTGCTTTGTTATAACACAAATTATGCAAAACAATCATCTACTTTATAACTAGTGATGGTTCAACCTCCAATGGGATTATGTTATCATAAAGCAATGCACATTCTTATGATTAACATGTTAAATTCATTTTTAAATGAATTTTTGTTAAATGTGAGGATACCCCTGGTCATACCATTAATATCCAGAGTTATAAGTAGTGACAGAACAAAGCCAGGGACAATGTGTTTCATCCCAATGTCAAAAAATAAAATAAAATAAATCCACCATGCAGAGTTAGAGAAAGTAGTGTTCAGTTTAGAGGTGTAAGACCAAGCTTACATGCGCGTAGTGAGAAGGCAGTGTGGTCTTACTCAATGAAGATGTCTTCAGTAGGACATGAGTAGCCAATATTCTGCTTATAGTATTGTTTGAATGCTCTCCTGGAAGGACAAAAAGTGGACAGGTGAGACAGAGTACATTTTCAAATTTGCATTTGAAGTTGGTTGATAGTTTAAACACTTAAACAAGGATTATTTATTTATTGTTTATTTGAATAGGGACAGATACAACAAATAATGATTAACAATTAAGTAAACTGATACAAGTATCACAGTGTTTATAGCCTTGGCTACTTCGCAACAAAACATCAGTCTCTAGAAGGCCTTTTAAACTGTTTAGATTTCACTAAAAAGCAATGGGATTATTTGTAGAAAAAACAATAAACACAGTGAATTTGTTAAGAGAATCAAATAGTATAAAAAAAAATCACAAACTGACTGACTCAAGCACTTGCATTTCACTCTTCAGTTTCAGTCTATGTTAAAGCTTGAGTTACATCATCAGTTTGACACACAGTGTATGTTATATAGTAATCAGTGTCTTACCCTACACATTCAGCCAGAGGATGCAGCGTTGTATCTGACATCAACACATGACAGGCAAAGCGATGTTGGTCGGGGTGTTTGGTGATGAAACCAAAATATCTGTTATGTTTTGGATGGCATCCACAAAAGGAAATATTTTTCAGCTGGAAGAAATTAAAGCACTGGTCCCCCTGAAACAAAAAGGGTAATTCATATTTTTTTATTATGTGGTGTTCCAATGTGTTTTGTATTGAAAATGGCTAGTAATTTGATCACACACATTATTATGCACCCTAAGATTGTTTTATTCTAACTGACAAGACTGGTCAGTTATAAGAGTGAAGACTGGAATAAAGCCATACCCTGTGAGCAGACTGGCACTGGTCCTGCACGATAATCTTCACCCCTTTTACACTGACCTCCAGCACACAAGCAGAGGGGGGCTGTCCTGCCTGCCGCCTGTTACACGCCACCTGCAAGATACCAGACCACTGGGAATTAAATGGACAACAAACAAGTAGGTAATCTTACACTATTGTGTCTAACTAGATATTTTGAAACTTCTGTTCTGACTACCAGATGGATTAATTCTGCAAGTTATTTAATTTACTATGCATTCTTATTATTTGCCTATTGTTTATACCTATCTTTACAAATAAATACCTCAAGTTGCAAGATTGTTGTATACTATAAATACCAACCTTATGCATAGCAGCACAAAGCACATCATTGCCTTTGAAGATTGGCACCTGGACAGATCCAAGGAAGCGCACCATAAACTGCTCCAACCAGCCTTCTTTTGGGGCTGAAAGAGAATAATAGAGAGATATAATAATATAATAATATGAATAACACTGTATTTTTTAAAAGATACGTATCAAGCGCAAGAATACCATTGTTAATATCTTTGGACACTTTGACCACATAGAAAGCAGGGAAGATTCCAGTGGCTCCAGTCCTCATATTGTAACCCTGACACCACAGGTCTTCAGACTGTTTCAGGATCAGCACTGGGTCATCTGTTTCTAAGTACAGCTCATCAGCATGGCGAGGAACAAACCTACAAATACATACGGAGATTAACTTTCCTTTGCTGTATGTAAATAGTGCTCTATTAAAGGGCTTATATTATACTATTTCTGATGCATGTTATAATGCTGTTACCTCATAAAAAAACATTCTTGGAGTTGTGTTTTGTTTCATTCACAGATATTTAACACACAAACCCTGCATATTTAGGCTGTCCTATTCTCTCAATCAAAAAACATTCTTTTCCACCTTGTGATCTCATGTTGTAATACAGGCAGTGCTTCATTGTGTTTTAATACACTACATACTTTCACCAGAATCATTTGGATAATTTTAGCCCTGGAATTGTCAGTCTCTACTGAACAAAAGGTAAAAGCTTTAACATGAAAACTACTGCTTCATGACATCACCAGGTGGAACAAAGTATTTTGAGCTTTAAAAATGTAAATAGCCTAGTAAACCAGGATTACTCAAACATGTGTGAATGAAACAAAACACAACTCCAGGTATGTTTTTGTTGAGGTAATAATGGCTTAAAGCTCGCAAGAGTCAATTTTGCATAATATGGGCCTTTTAATATGTTTGGTGAGTAAAATGTTACCTGTAGACAGCTCTGTGGCTCTGTTGTCGCTCCACTCCATTCAAAACACAGGAAAACATTCCAAAAGAGCTGGCACCTGATCAAATGTTAAACACAGAAAAATCAATAAAAATATCTTGTGCAGGACCTAAGCCAACATGTTCAGCACTTCACAGATAATAAAAGTCTTTTCATTAAACCATAAGATAAAAACAAAAATGTACAACAAATGTACACAAAATGTATATTAGCTATTCGTATGTAAATAAAGAATAATACGTCTGGTCTTAATAATATGTTTTTATTTTATTTTTACACAAATTACTGAAAGTTTTGTGTTTTGTTTTTTTTTGGTTTTTTTTTTGCACTATTCTCTTTTAATGTTAATTTAATGATAATTTTTATGTTTTGATTTGTATTGTGATTTGAATGTCTTCTGTAAAACACTTTGTGTATGACTTGTGTTAGACAAATAAACATTGCCAACAACTTGCGCTTCAGGGATCTCATTTATAAAGATATATGCAAAAAACATCAGTGACTTTCCATGTTGCATTGGTGATATATAAAAAGACAACTATGGATAGGAATGTGCAATCCAATCTAAAAAAAAAAATAAACTAAAAATTTTGCACCATGGGACTTCTGATTGTGTTTTGGCTGAATCATAGATTATATACATAAATGGACATCGCTACCCCGCTGCCACTTTCCAAATAGAAAGTGAGCATGTGTACGCTTCCAGCTCCATCGACTCCAGCTCACTTTGTATTGGAAAAAAAAACACTGCCCCTCTCTCTCAGTAACTACTGCTCTGCTGCTGTCAGGCTCCTCATTTTTAGTCTTAAAATGTTTCTATCAACCCGATTTACATGATCCTGTTGTTTTATTTTCCAATATGGAACTCGGCTCCAAATTTGCCCCTGTGACTGCTAGTCTCGGTGAGCTTCATTTAAGTGGAGCCGGGTGACGTAACACTCCCTTAGTTCATTTTTTAATACAGTCTATGATCCGTATATACACTTTCAGTAAGAATTCCTCATAAAGTTTTATAAATTAGACCCCATTATAAAATATAAAAAAATAATTACTTTTAAAAAATCACCTGTTTCACTGTAATCGTTGTCACCTCCAAAAAGGTTGAGGAACTTTTTGCTGCGCGGTGCTGTGGCCTTGCCCTCTTTAGACTGATCCTCCTCCGAAGTTGTTGTTGTTGATCTGAATTTAGGATGTTTGTAAAAAGTAGCCACTACTTCCCTCCTTCTCTTCACCTCTTCTTCTCTCCTCCGCTGCAAATCCTCCTCCTCTTTTCTTTTCCTCTCCTCTTCTTTCCTCCTCTCTAAAAGTAGTCAAATGAGAACAATAAAAATAATGTCTGGCTAAAATACTTTATCATTTATAAGGAACACAGTTGCATCATCTTTTTTGCATGTAATTGTATCCATCCTTTACATACTGAATATATCACGAATCAGATTGTTCTTTATTATATATTATATTTCCAATATGCAGAAATTATTATTATACTGTGCAAAGTTCTTGCATAAAGGCTTTCCATATAAAGTGAAAGTGATATCTGATATATAACATAGTCTCACGAGGCCAGTGGTGAATAAATCATGTCGACACTTGTGATCACTGAACAAAAGATAAGATGAAACTCAAGACTTGTACTATTAAGCTATCTGCAGGCTTATTCCTCTTCCTCTATTTGTACAAAAAGTACTACAAAGTAGATCCTCCTGAACAAAGTTTCATCTTTATATGTTTAATTTACACATTTGCACACATTGCATAAGGTACATAAAAGGTGCACCAAGTAACATTTCTGATGGATGGTCCACCATCTGCTTTGGCTCCATGAAGACATTGCTTCACCTGAAATGTTCAACAGTAATGCACTGAACTTATTATCATTTATTCAATTAAAGGTGTTTTCATTTCCCCAAAATACCTTGTACCCATCATTGTACAAAATCCAATGAAGCAAAGCTTCATGTCACTGTTAGAGGGGTTACCTCTTCACACATATGACCTGTAACTCCACCTGGAGACATCTCCAGCAAATAGTTACACAGTGCATCTTACTTAAAAGACTGCAGCAGACATGCACATACCTTGCTTCTTGGTCTCCTCATCCTTCTTCCTCCTCTCCACCTCATACTCGGGATCCTCTTCCTCATTGGCTGACTGGTAGACTGTCTCTGTGTCACTGTCATCTTTGTGCTCACTGTAACTGTGCAAACAGTCCTTGAGGCTGACCAGCTCTAACTGAGCGTGCTCATCCACCACCAGAGTGTACTTCACAGAGTCATAGTTCAGCCCTGCGGTGGTCTCACTCTTTGGGACAGTCCAGACCACACCATGGTCCTCTGTAACAGTAGTGCTGTTTTGTTCTGTGGGTCCTGGTTCTAGTTCTGGTTTGTGTTCTGTCTTTTCTTCAGGACAGTTCTGTGTTATGTTCTTAGACGGGGTGGGCTCTCCCTCGCCGTCCTCCTCACTGATGTCTGGGTTGGGGTTGTAGGACAGGGAGGGGTGCAGTGGTCCAGGTGGAGGGCCCTCTGTGTCCGAGCTCAGGGACATTCTGTTGGAGCCTCCCTCACTGCTGGAGCGTGACAGGGCAGGAGGCTGTTCTTGTTTCCTGTCATGGTTTTGGCCTAGTCACAAATACAATACATGGTCAAATTTCACATTTACAATTTTACAGATCACAACAGATCAGAAGTATAGAATATATTTCAAAATGTTTGAATGTTATTTGTATGATGTTCAGGGTAGATTAAAGTATTATTAGATACTGCAGCTGACATCATCCACATTTCCTGGGGGTGTGTAGCTAACTGGGGGCACTGCTCTGTCTAAAGTTCTGTTGCTGAGTTTTTTCACAACACAATCTGAAGGAAAACAGACATAGTTGGAACTACAACAGGTGAGCTGATTTGTTTGCTGTTAGTCAAATCAAACACCTAAACAAGATTATGAACACTCGTATTGATCAAAGGCTCCTGAAAATGTGTTGTTTAAATTAATCTTGTATTTTTTCTCTATCTTAAAATCTGCAAAACATTTTTGACTGTGTTTGCTATGTGTGCATTGTGTCGCCATAGTAACTGTTGAACATACATGCAGAACACCCCCAGCATGGTGTTACTGCAAAGTATCAATACAAACAAATAGATTATAGTTCACTGTTTTAGCGTCTCTAGACTGAAATATAACTACCACAAGCAATAACTATTTGAACAGAAGCTTAACGAAACAGTTAAGAGGTTTTAGAGTTATGTAATAATAGATAAGAAAGGGATTGCACAAAAGAAAATATGCAGCCAGCAACTCAAAGATGACATAATACAAACACTTTCCTTCATGTTAATATGGCAACTTCCTAAAATAATGAAGTAAAGAACTATTTATGATTTGAGAAGTCTGTAAGATAATTTAAAGGTCCTATACTATACAAAATTCACTCTTGTGAGCTTTTAGCCATGTTAGAATGTTATTACCTCCTCAAAAACATAGTTGTGTTTTGTTTGATTCACATGTTTGAGTAATCCTGTTTGCTGCCCAGCTCAAAATGCCCAACTTGGGATGTTATGAAGATGTCGTTTTCAAATTAAAAGCTACATTTTATTTTTTGTTCAGCTGGGATTGATAATTCCAGGGCTAAAATTATCCAAATGATTCTATGGAAGGTGTATGGAGTTTAAAAACACAGTGGAGCACTTCCTGTATTACAACATGACATCACAAGGTGGAACAAAGTGTTTTGAGAGAAGAAATCAGCCTAAATATGCAAGATTTGTTAAATATGTGTAAAACATAGATCAGAAAACAGTTTTATATGGGCCCTTTGACTACAAATTTCATACATTAAAACAAAATTTTCAATTTTTTTTTCAAATCCTCAGTGTAATTTCACTTTACCTTTCTCTTTGCTCTTGTCATTCTTTCTAGGTGCAACGGGTGTGCGAGGGACCACCATGGCAGGCAGGTAAGGTTGATGGTTGTTTAGCATGTTATTTGCTTTGCTTCCAGATCCTTTAGGGGGAGCTTTAGGGGCCGCTTTTGTTTTGGCCTCTGCTCTGCCTCTTAGTCCTATCGTCTCCCTTATTCTGGAGTGTCCATTCTTGTCTTTATCTCTGCACTTCTCCTCACAGAGCCGTGCCCCTCTCCTCTCATCTTTGCCTGATCCATCCTTCACTTTTGGGTCGGTCTGGTTCCTGTCTCTCAGTCCACCCCGTCCTGCACTTTTACCCCCTGCTCCTGCTCCTCCTGCCCCCCTGCGTTGGCTCCTGGGGGATTGGTTGCTTGCACTGGTGGACCCCTGTCTCTCTCTGACCCGTGCACGTGCGTCAGTTGTAGCAGCAGTGGTAGGTTGTCCGTTAGCTCTGCTGTTGGCCCCATTGGTTACAGGAGGTTTGGGGGCCGGGCGACGCGTGCTGGGTCGGACCTTGGCCTCAGCTTTGGGCTGGGCACCCGGGGGTGTTTGATCCCCTTCACATGCAGAGACAAAGAAAGCACATGGATTGTTACATACTGTTTTGAGCAATGAGATAAAGACTTTGGATAATCTTTGTTCCATTGGGCAATTTATAATCAAAACAGTAGACTAACTTAAAGCCAGAAATACACTGTACTGCAATATTGGCTTCACTGGCTTCAAATCCATAAAGATAAAAAGGCCAGTGTTTTTGGTTATTTAAGATCTAAACATACTACATTGTCACAAAAGAAAATAAACAATGCTTTTAGATAGATAGATAGATAGATAGATAGATCAAATATTATTAATAACTTTTTTCTATTTTATTTTATTTTATTTTATTTTTTTATTTAGCTACATTGCCCAAGTAATTTCCCTTGTGGATCAATAAAGTTTGTCAAAGACTAAGTCTAAAAACCTTATTAAACCAGAAGGAAATTTCAATGCTTTTGTTATTTTTTTTAGACACTTCTTCACATATTTTTTTATTTTTTATAATGATAGCGTGTCTGGACACTTAACAAGCTTCAGTGTCTTGGTGAAGGTACAAGCTTGCAAGTATAGTTAAAAATAAAGTGCTACAGCACATGTGTTCGGACTCTGGACTTTGCTATCTGGACTTTGCTCTCGGTTTGCTATAAACACTGAAGCCCCAGCTTTATTAAAATAGTGTCTGTTTCTAGAAATGTAAAGATAAGGAGCAGGGATGCTGTGATAGAGGGAGTGCAGAGTGGCATGAAATGCTGCTAATGTTATTGATTAGTTATGTGATACAGCAGATCAAGGCCGTCCTCACCTGTGATATGTGGCGAGGACGAGTGAGAGTCTTTCCAACTGTCCTTTTTGCCAAGGGAATTGTTGTTTATGGTGTCCTGAAAGAGAGTAGACACATGATGTACATCTGTTATGGAAAACACCTGGGCAAACACTTCTTGGGCCTGTCTCACACTTAATCCCAGTTCAGACATTTTTAGGCTGTATACAAAGAACATGTGACGTCAGTGCCAGGAAGGGAACAAGCAGGAAGTGTGTGGAGATTCTGTCCCGATGTCAGAGCGCTGACTCACACTCATATCCCATCATGCATCTGCTGCTCGACTAGCTGTTACTATGGTTACGTGGACACTGTGTAAATGTGGGAGTCCTGACAGGATTTAGGCATTTTGTATTTATTTTGAATCACTCATGACATGATATGTATTTCCAACACCACATCATCAAGCACTTAACATTTTATTAACCTGACCCCTGTCAGTCCACTTGTCTCAAATTGCTATGTAGGTTTTTTTATGCGTGGGAATAATTTAGCCTGGCTACTCAATATTACATGCTTTTCCCATAGTATAAAGACATTAGATACTGGCTCACCAGGCTAGGAGTAAATGAGATACTAAGCAATTTAAATTCTTAAAGGTCCTATATTATACAAAATGATTCTTGTGAGTTTTAAGCCATAATATAATTCTGTTATCCCCTCAAAATCATATCATGTTTTGTTTCATTCATACACATTTGAGTAACCTTTTATTATTAGTCTGTCTGCATCTCCAAAACTCAAAATACTCTGTCTCACCTTGTGATGCCATGTTGTGGTAGTTTTCAAGTTACCAGCTACTTTTACCTTTAGTTTATTAAAGATTACAGTTCAAGGGCTGAAATTATCCAAATGATTCTAATGAATGTGTATGGAGTTTAAAAAAACAGCATTACAAAGTGAAACATACTTTTTCTGTCTGAGAGAAGAAGTCAGCCTTAATATGCAGGATTTTTGTGTTAAACGTGTGTGTGTGTGTGTGTGTGTGTGTGTGCGTGTGCATATGTGTGTGTGTGTGTGTGTGTGTGTGTGAAACAAAATAGCATAATATAAAGTAAACAAGTTATCTAGTGGTACTTGACCTACTAACTAGTGCTTAAGACATATACATTGTACATGAAAAAACATAATTAAAACAGGAGAGCAGATCAGGATAGGGGAGAAATCAATGCACTTAAAAGGATCAGAAAACCGAGCCAGGTCATCCACTGCAGGATGGAGACAGTGAAGTACAGAGAGCACTGGACACACTGTTCAACAGACAATAATAGATACAGTAATGCTTTAGGTGGTTGCTTGTCTTTTTCCCTTGTGAGCTGTAAAACATTATTTAAGAGAACATGTTTGGGGAAAATAATAATTACAGTTCAGACACTTCAAATTTCACATCAAAATAAGGGAATGGACAGTTAATAATTTAAAAACTTCAGTTTGAGCCATTAGGAACTGTATATAAGATTTAGATTTTAATATTAGATTATATGAATATATATATATATATATATATATATATACACATACACACACACATATATATATATATATATATATGAACTTGACAGGTCTGTGTCTCCAGATATGAGGTAAATTCAAATATAACTTTTAGTGACAAGAGATAAGATTCTCAATTACAAAAGCATTGGCTATTATGTCATTATTTGGTGTTTTGGTTCTCAAGTCAATTATCCAACCAGAAAACAAAATGAGCCTCACACGAGTCTCATTTGGGCTGCCAGTTTCAATGCTGAAATCCAGTTGAGCCTTGGTTAAAAGGACTCTTCTCACAATCTAAACCCCAGCACGCGCAGCCAATGATTAATCTGTGGTAGTGCAGCCTCTGCAGCTCAGTGAGTGAATTCTGGAGGCTCTGAGCTTTCACATGAGTCATAGCCTGTCCATCTGAAATCCATACTGAAAAAAGCGCGTCTATGTCCTCTATCTGCAGGTTGAAGTATTGGCGACCAAGTTTCAATTGTGACTGTAATACCTTTTCGCAAAAATAAGATCTCAGTCTACATACAGTTCCTTTAAAAAACAAACCAATTGTAACTAACAAAGTAAATTATGAATATGTTATATGTTTAAGTCAGGTGTGTTTAGAGCAGTAGCAGGCGGTAAAAATACAGTGGAGGTGTGCTGTGAGATTATTGTTATAGACAAACTCAGCACAGCTCATAGCTCAAAGAGGCTTGACACTGAAGACTGTGTCCACATCAGCATTTTACCTTCTGATTATATTTCATAGGCTCATTGACGCACAGACAATCTGCCCTGACCTTAATCAGAAATGAAATATACTGTGCACATGTCTATTAATAATATCTGTAAAGCCTGAAACATATAACGTATCATAGCCTTCTCTAAATACATGTAGCAGATAAAGTGAAACACATGAGGAACTGAACATTTCAAGGAGTGTTACGCGTTGTTGAAACTAGTCTCACACAATTTCCATCATTTATGAATTTTAAGTATTTTGTTAGCTTGTTATCTTGAAATAGGCATTGCATTATATGTTATTTGTTTGAAATAGTGTACTCTACATGCAGACTGTAAGGAACATACTAAATAACTGAAATCAAAATAATACAGAACTGTAATGCTCTGACTAAATGCCGTGCTATAAGGTAGTAGGTCAGGTTCAATCTATCTGAATACTTCTGCTGTCTTTGGGCATGGGCTCCTTTGGGAAAGACTGATCTAATACAGATAGATTAACTGGTTGCAAAGCTTGTTCATTGTATTATTTGGTGGAGATCTACATAACACATCACTCACTTGATATAAAATAATAACCCTGAGCTGAGCCTTTTTTTGAGTTGACGTTACATTAAAGCCGGGAGGAGGTGAGATGACTGTGCGCTGATGTGAGCTGACACGGTAAACAGGATGCTGCTCATTTAAAGGGATAGACCAGGCCACTACTTCTGTCTCTGCTGCTGCCTCTAACAGTATTCAGTACTGGCCCTGGACCATCGCGACTTCCCTGATACAGTACAACAACATAACATCCTACCCTTGGGACTATGTTAAAGACAAATGAAGCATCACACCGTACAGTATAGCTTTGTTTTGGAAAGGAGAGAAGGCATCAACATCCAGTGTCCTTGAGCATCACTAGAGCTCGTACAAAACATGTTGGTGGCGCGACAGGGTGGATTTATGAATAGCAATACTACAGGACATCAAAAGCAGGCCGATGCAGCTATTTTCCACTAAGTGCCCAGGCGAGATCACACCCCATGGACAGCACATAAGCAAATGGAGTTACTGAATGTGTTGACATTATCCCAAAGCCCCTGGCTCACATACACTGACCCATTTTCTCTACTATGAAAAAAATAACAGTGGTCCCCTCCCCGGCGCTCTTACCTGGGAGCCGGCTTGTGGCTGCTGTGGGAACAGAGCCAAAGTGGTGGGCCTCTTTGGTCTGTATTTGTCCATGACCGAAGAACAGGTTGGTGGCCCTGTGCCCCCCTGCTCCCAGTTCAATGTTAGGGGCTGCTCCTCTTCCCGGACAAGGCCTCCTCCTCCCCCACCCACCTCTGCTACCTTATGCTCTGCTCCCTCTTCCTCCTCAGTCTCCTCAGCATCGATCAGCTCCAGGCTGCTGCTGCAGACACACCCCCTCCACTCCCTAGCTGAGAGCTGATTGGCTGGTTGAGCTGTCACGTCATCATCAGCATCTTCGTCATGTGCCTGGTAGGAGCATAGCACAGAGATGGGAGAGAGAAGGGGAGGGGTGGGAGGAAGCGGAGTGACATGGAAGATGGCAGGGAGGAGGAAGTGAGAGCAGCCAATCAGAACGCATGGGTGACATCATCAGCTGTCCTGCCTGTGGCATTTTGAGTAAATAAGGCTAATAAACACAGATGGTGTATGGCCCACAAAAATAATAGCATGCTTTGTCTGCTATGAAAGAGACAGACAGGGGAACTAGTACAGTTAATCAAATTAATGATAAATATTATCAAGTAATCACTGATCACAATTAACACTGTGTCTTTAATTTACAGTTTGTATGGTAAGTCCTTTATTACAAGACTCCTTTATTTGTGGTTACTGAGGTTGACTAATGTGCATCCTTAAAGTGAGAGAAAGAGAAAGAGAAAGAAAAAAAGAGAAAGAGAAAGTAGTTCTTAACTGTAGTCATAGTACAGTAGACCCTGTAATTGTTCTGTGTATAGGATTTGACTTTGAATGAAGGCTTCATGCAGTTTATTACTATTGGTAAGCCTACTCTTATTCAAAATACTTTCCTTTTTTTCTCATGTCCTGGTCTTAAACCCAACTCTGCCAGCTGAGCTAGGCCTATTTGTTATTTAGCTGGCAAACTAGTCCAGACTGATAGCCAAGATGAAACGTTAATTAAGTCGCGTGCAAAAATACACAATAACTTACCAGGTCGTGGTCTTTAATTTCCGTCAGCTCAGACAAGTCTTCATCTTCAAACTCATTCAGACTGAAGTCATCCGTGAGCCTGAAAAGTAGTAGAACATTTCATTAAAAATCTTAACAATGGGGTGTAAAATTTTATATTGACGACCACGCTCTGGTAGCAATGACTGGTCCTTTTGCTGACCTCTAGTGGCAAAAGTGAGAGTTGCAATAGCACACTAAACCACAGTGGAGGCCTTTATCGCATTTGGGGTCCCGGTGACACCGGCTCCATGAACTCGTGAAGATGAAAAGCCACAAGATTACTTTGCAGCAGTGACTAACAATGATCAGGGAAACCATTTTCTGTTTTGTAGATTTTGTTTAGAATTCAGATTATTTATTTATTAGTTGAGCCTGGTCCTCCATCTGAGATTTTGACGTGCGTGTGTGTGTGTGTGTGTGTGTGTGTGTGTGTGTGTGTGTGTGTGTGTGTGTGTGTGTGTGTGTGTGTGTGTGTGTGTGTGTGTGTGTGTGTGTGTGTGTGTGTGTGAAAGTGGACCAATAAGGCACACATTGAATACAGTAATCACAGAATAAAACGAGTAAAATTAATAAAGTTGATCTATTTAATCTTGTTAAAAACTAATTTAAACAGATTATTAAGAAAAAGAATAATAATGCATTCTATATCTGGGCACTCAAGGACACTGTACAAACAAAAATTAAGACACATGATTAAAAATTGACTACCATTTCTCTACTTGATCCTCCAGATCATCTCCATCAGGCTCCATCTGAAGTACAGCAGTCTAGCCCTAGACCAGCTGCTGGTTTGGATCAAAAAGACTTATCTCTGTAACATTTCAGGATTTCAAATTCTTTTGTGTGATTGATGAGCTGCTGTCTCATCCATAGAAGACATTTACAAAAGGACATCTTAAATAAACTCCTCAAAGAGAAAAAGTCCAACATCATCATGTTTTTTAAAGTTATTTCCCCAACTTGATCTCACTGCAGTGAAGTCTTGAATCAGACTTGTAGAACTTTTCTTCAGTCCAACTTGTGTCCACCTGGTCTTTTGAAAATCCATGGTCTAATTAGTATTTAAAAAGTAATCCAGGAGATGTAGCTTTAGCCGTGTTGAGTCCCTGCTATGTGAAAGGTATACTGTATAAACTAAGGACATCTCTGTGCCTGTGCAGAGTAATGCAGACCGTCTCAAATGCCCTCTCAATTTTCCGGATTGGACTGGGACAGCTGCTTCTCTGATCGATCAACAACCAATAAGAGCCACTTCCTCTGCTTTGCTCACAGCCCTGCTCTCTGGTTGGGCCTCTATACCTTATGACTTGTATATAAACTGTGTACTATATAAGTCCAGTGCCAATGCTACTTTGGACACATGTAACACACCATAGCATTGTAATATGGTGAGATGTTTGCCTTCTGAGATGATTCTGAGAAGATGATTCTGCCCTACACTGGATTCAATGCAACAAAGTTAAAACTGCATTCAGTTGTGTCTTTTAAATGCAAATTCATATTATGCCCTAGTCGTCTGGGTTTGATTTAAAGCAGTTCCTGTTTCAGCATGTTTCTTTTCGAACAGGGAAGTGTCAAATATCAGCCAAGCAGCAGATCATGCTGCTCAGACTCGTATCTTTTTTCATCTACTGGGAAATGCAAAACACTTAATTTAGAAATATACTTACAGATTACAACAGTATTAGTTCTTTTAACTGTAATCTGCAAATAATTATTATCCTTCTAATGAAAACTAAGTATTTGCCTGAAATGTGAATAAAATTTCTACGAAGAGACACTGTTCTCAAAAGTCCTTTAGGCATTTTATTTAAAATAAACTCTTTGTACAATACAAAACAAATAAATAGCCACATATCCATTTTAGCGTCATAACTTCATACTGCCATCACCTGGAATGTACGTCAACTGTTACTGTGTAGGGGGAGGATGTAGCATGCGTTTAGAGATATTAAAGTCCCAGAAAATTATTCCATTAACTTCTTAAATCTATTACCTTTTTTCTTTTTTTTCTTACATTTATAAGCAAACTGTTTTTAACACCAAGGATTTTATCATTGTTTTGAGACTGTCCAAGCCAAATTACTTAAAGAAATTTGAGTCAATAACAGTGAATGTTTTTAAATGTATGTCCGGGAGAAGCAAACAGAGCATGAGAGTCTTTAAATGTTGCAAAAGTCTAAATTAAAGTTTACATGGAATTACTTTTTCTTGAAAAAAAGTAATTGGTTAGTCTACGAATCAAGGTCATTAGAGCAGATGAAGTTCCATGAGTTCTTGCCAAGACCATTGTACGATAAAGTATAATCAACCAGGCAGTCAAGCAGAGGTTTCACAAAGTCAGCCTGCAAGAGATTGCACACTAAACATTAAAACATTAAAAAAAAAATTACCTTCCTGAAAATGCAATAAAAAGCACTGATTGTCACAGCTCTACATGAATGTAAAACGCACAAAAGTTTTACATTTTGAATTTTCCATTCCAGTAAGCTGTTTGTTAGAGCCCACTCAGTTTATTTTATCTCAACATGTAACTTACACAAAATAACTATCATTTTCATAGAGGTATATTTTTTGCCTGGGATCCATAAAACACATCCAATACTTTATGAAGATCATTCTGGAGTTGCCAAGAAAGTACACGGTTATTTGGGGGTGAGCAAAAATTGAGTTGATTTTGCAGCACCTGAAATAGACTGACTGTTGGCAAGAGATTTTTACAGTAAAATTTAGCACTGGATAATGAACACAATACATGGAAAAATCTATTGCCCATTAGTGAACATTTTGGCCACAAAGAGATTCAGGGGTGAGCTTTTGTGAAACCGCACTACCAACCACTCTTTTCTCTTATTATACAGATTTTTACATATCTACTCAGCAAAATATAGTACACAACAATATCCATTCTTTGACATCATTCCAAAAAAGCAGCATTTTCTTGCCAGAGAAAAATATGGCAACTTCCAGAATCCTTCAACATTTCATCTATAGTATGCAAATTACTTATATAATAAATTTATATCATGTATATTTAATTAAACAAAAGCTCTCGCCTCTGCCCAGTATTTACAGTCGTGGTCAAAAGTTTATATACAGTACACGTTCAGAACCTAAATCCCCTACTAACTTCAAGTTACACGCTTCATCCTTGAATAAACGGCCATTCTGGAATGCATAGGGTAATCGCATTTTGGAAATAAAAAGAAAAGGCATAACTTCCTGTTAATCATTTATTTATTTAATAGTTCTTTTAACAACACAACTTCTTAGTGGTTCATAAATTTACATACACCCACATGCCTTGCCCAATAAACAATACATTGGTTGAAGGCAGCTTGTGCTATCAACCATGCAATGGTCCCATTTAGTCCAGTGTTCAGTCATACTGCATAATTAACAGGTTTTATATATTTGAGGGGTATATAAACAGCTTAAATTCACACACTCTGCATTGACTTGATATGGGGAAGTCAAAACAACACACTCAGGACATTAAGGACCGAATAGTTGCCTTGCACAGGGCAGGCTCGTCCCTAGGAACCATCTCCAGGCGGCTTGATGTCCCTAGAGTATCTGTTCAGACAATTGTCCAAACATTTAAGCACCGTGGAAGTACAGCTGTAATGCCACGGTCTGGAAGGAAGCGGAAACTAACACCCAGAGATGAAATGCTTTTGGTCAGAAAAGTGAAAATGAACCCAAAGACAACCAAGAAAGCCATCTGCAATGAATTGGCTGCCTCTGGAACAGATGTATCAGTATCCACGGTCAAGAGAGTTCTCCATCGACATGGGCTGAGAGGGTGTCGGGGCAGAAGGAAGCCATTACTAGGCACAGAAAAGCACGACTGAAGTTTGCCAAACAGCACCTGAACAAGGATAAGGCCTTCTGGAAGAATGTGCTGTGGTCAGACGAGACGAAAATTGAACTGTTTGGTCATAATGACCAACAGTACGTTTTCCGGCGAAAGGGTGAAGCCTTCCACCCCAACAATACAGTTCCAACTGTGAAGCATGGTGGAGGAAGTCTCATGTTGTGGGGTTGCTTTGCAGCGTCGGGAACTGGAGAACTCCAGAAGATCAATGGAATCATGAGGAAAGAGGATTACATAGAAATATTGCAAAGAAACCTCAAAAAGTCTGTCAAATGTCTGAAGCTTGGTCGAAATTGGATGTTTCAACAGGACAACGACCCGAAACACACAGCCAAAATAGTATCAAAATGGTTCCAGACAAACAAGGTGAACATGTTGGAGTGGCCTTCACAGAGTCCGGACCTCAATCCCATTGAGAATGTGTGGAGTGAACTGAAGAAACAGATCCGTAAGAGGAGACCAACAAACGTAGCACAACTGTATGAAATCTGCCAGTAGGAATGGCCCAAGATCTCCAGGGATTACTGTGAGAAGCTGATTGAAGGATATCCAAAGTGACTTGCTGAAGTTATCAAGGTCAATGGAAATGCAACGAAGTACTAAGCCCTGAACGAGTAGGTGTATGTAAACTTATGAACCACTTAAAAAGTTGTGCTGTTAAAAGAACTATTAAATAAATAAATGATTAACAGGAAATTTTTCCTTTTCTTTTTATTTCCAAAATGCGATTACCCTATGCATTCCAAAATGGCCGCTTATTCAAGGATGAAGCGTGTAACGTGAAGTTAGTAGGGGATTTAGTTTCTGAACGTGTACTGTATGTAAACTTTTGACCACGACTGTACATAGATTCCTGCTACAATTTCATAGAAGTCTGATGCACAAATCAGGAAATATTATGGAGGTGGAGATCAAAAATGTGGGATACCAGTGAACTAAAAAAATATATAAATAGGAGATTGTGTTAATCACTGTTTGAAATAAACAAATAATAATTTCTGTGGTGCATCACAGATTCTATGAACAATACATTCAATGAGACAAAGGGGCAAGTTCAGAAACCGCTGCTGTCCACATCAGTCCACAAGGGCCGTAGTGCATTTCATTGGGACTCCTCATTCAGCTGCAACATAAAGAGTTTTCCTGGTACTTGTTCCTGTTTTTACTGCCTTCTGTGGTGGATGGCTTGGGTACCATGGTTTTCCTTTTGGAGCTGAATGACAAGTTTCATCTGGGAGTTTCCTGAAAGAAGAAATATATATCAAATCAATATAGACACATTCTGAAGACATCTTTTGAACTTTATTTAGATTTTGCACCTCAACAACCATTCTTGAATCTGATCTTCTTATTCTCTGCTTAACCAGATTACAGAAAAAAACATGCTGAAGACTTGAAAATGACTTGCCAGTGAGCACTAGTGATGCACAGGTGGTTAAGCTCCAACAATAACAAAACTAATATCAAGACTAGAAAGTCATTTGAGAAGTTATCAAAACTGAAACAATTACATAGGCCAAAGTTGGATCTTTCCTGAATAGTTTTTAAATGGTCTCTATGATATGGTGTACCTCTTATGATTATAGGGTAACTTTCAGAAGATACATATACACTACAATGAGCCTCACCCCATGCATGCTTTGGACCTTTCAAAATATAGTTTATACAAAATAGTTATTGAATCTAGGCTAGATGATGTTTGTATTTGTATATGTTTATTAATGGCGCAAAAGATTACTTGATGTTCAAAGTGCTTTGGTTCTAGTTGACTCACAGCACCAAATGCAGAAAAAGTGTTTCGAGTTCTGATGTTGAGTTAGACCGGTGCTTCACTTGTGCACTAAACATTTTACAGAAGTTTTGGTGAATACCTGTTACTGCAAATGTCCTGTTGACTCTCCTCCAAGCATTTCCTCTTCCATCTTTTCATCATCCTGCTCGATTTCCTCCTCCATCTTGTCCTCTGTCGTTGTACTGTCCCGGGACTCGTCGTCTGTCCTCCTGTCCCCCTCTTTTGTTGCTGTAGCGCAGTTTTGTCGCACCCTCTGTCTCTGGCTACGTCGCGTCTTACGGGCCATGCCTTTCCTTCTGGGGCCCAGTGAGGTAGAACGACCAGGGCTGGGGGCTACATTGGGACTTGGTGAGGCAGGAGATGAGGGTTTGGGCTGTGCGGTCATTGGGTCAGGGGAGGTGGAGGATATGGCGGTAGGGGGCTCGTTCTTGGGGCACGTGGTTTCATCTAGAGCTGTGTACGGGACACTGACTGAGAATGAGAAGGGGTCCATGGTGGATGAGTCTGGAGCAGTGGAGCACCCTGCTGCCTCAACGTCAGAAAGCTTGGGTGGAGAGTCTAAAAAATACGTAAATGCAAGTTATGACATATAAGACATGAATATATTGTTTGGTTTCTTCTCTGTCCAGCTCAGCAAACCATGCTGATGTACAGTGACAATAAAATGTCTAGATGTTTGTCTAGATCTGGTCAAATGACAAATGAAAGCACAGAAGGCTTATGGCTCACTAACGAAAGTTGTTGGCATCATCTTTTGGCTAAAGATATTTGAGACCGTTTTCTCACCAGGGCCACTGCTCGTTTGAGACTCATCCGTCATTGGTGGCTCTGCTTCTTCTTGGATAGTTGGCACCGATGCAAGTAAGCCTTAAATATAGTCAGAGAATCAGGCATTTGGACATTTCAAGCAAAGTCCTATAAGCAGTTTACAACTGCACCCAGTTAATCACCAACAAAGGCATTGTATACAGTCGTGTACACATTTTCCTATGGGTTTTTATGATGATATTCTGCAAGTGGCCACAAATGTTAACTCTTTCCCCCATAAAGACGACATTTGACAACCCCCCCGTACCCTTAATGACGACTTTTGACACCTCCGCTGTATCAATAAAAAGTTCGTGATTTGACGACCTTTAGAAATGGCTCGGTTTTTCACATTTAAACAGAGACTGCGATAGGTGGGGGCCACTACAACCAACACTAGACTGACCAATGATTCAAGGATATGTTTTCGCCGATTTTTTCCGAAGTTAATCGAAGTAGTGATGATTGTAGCTTCCGGAAAAACACAACACGAAACACGTGCAATAGAAAAATCGCGGCGCTGCGGCGCACAGTTTTAGAAATAATGAGGAGCGGACGTATTTTATGTATAAGTTTAGAGAAAGTGATTTTTATTTATTTCAAAGTGATGATGAAGTTGATTATAAAGTGGAAAACAGCGACAGCGACGGACTTTCAGAGAGTGAATCTTACGAAGATGAGAATGCTGCTGATGCGTCTGTGTGGAGTCCTGCGATATCCGAACAAACTATCCGGGCTTTATACTCGATTATGAACCAAAATTGCCATGAAATCTGGATGTTGCCCAGGCTAGTCCTTTAAAATATTTCAGTCTTTTTTTCCAAGATGCGATATATAACAGAATCGCTACAGAAAAAACGCTTATGCGGAGCTCTGCGCACGAGAAAACAGCCAAGATGACAAATACTGGACACCCACTGACGGGGAAGAGTTTTATTATTATATTATTATATTATAATAAGCTGAATTAGTTGAATAAGTTAAATGGAAAAAATTAATTAGGTGCACACAGGTGTACAACAGGTAAAAACAGGTCCACACTTGGCTATACTGCATCTGGTGATATGAAATCTGTTTAAATACTTTGACAAAGTATATTTTTATTTTTTTTATGAATATAGTACTCAGAACATGTATATCAAATGCTGAATGTAGTTTTTTGTTTTCGATTTTGTAACTGACCAGGTAAACTCTCATTTTCAATGAGCTGTTATACACCTATAAATGAGTTGAATCACATTTAAACATCCATAAATGAATAGTTCAGAGTCTAAGGTTTCCAGAGATACCAAATATGTCTGTGTTACAATTAAGTTCATGAGTGTAAAATTAATTTATAATCACTCGTGGAAGTCTGTTTTCTTTTATGTAATTATGCTCTATGGGTAGCCCTAGTAACGTATGTATGGGTTGTTCCTAGTAGGCGTCCAGGGGGGAAAGAGTTAAGCAAAGAGCCAGTCATTCATGTTTTCATTCAGCTTTCATAGAAATTATCTGAAATGTATTAAATTATACTTTATCCAGTGTTACTTTGTTGGAGTGCTTTAGTACAAATAACTGCATGTATTTCTATCTTAGTATTGACTAGTATTTTCACTCCTTTCTGAATCAAAACCTCAAAGTCTTAATGGATTGATTTGCAAACTTACTGAGTCCTCTGTAGTGGGACAGCTGCTGATAAACTTGCTTCATTCGTTCAATGTTGAGCCTACTTCCCTCTGCATGGTTTATCATTGGTTTGGGATAGTCCACTCCCACTACACAGTTGGCCGCCTTCTGGACCGATTCTGGGGCATTCCATGGCTCATAGATGTAGCGATTTGGGTAGTCCTTCAAAATTGGGATGTACCGCCTATGGAAAAAAATTGGATTACAAGATGAACCCAAGAATTTTAAGCCTGTCTTTTTATTTGAGTAAAATTTTGTTTCAAATGTGATACACAATTGCTATATACCTGATATAGTCTCCAGTTGGGTCGGTTCTCCTCCCAAAACCAACTGGACAATAGCAGTGGAAAAACTGTTGGAAGAAGGCACTGCAGGACAGCCACATCCAGCTGCCAGCGTTGACACTCCAGTCAGCATCCAACAGGAGCTCCTCAAACACCTACAAAGAGACTCCATAACTAAAGCCATATCATAACATATACATTTCTGTATTCCAGAGTGTTCCCAGTGCAGTACCTTCATGCCACTTTCCCAGCTGATCCACAGGTCTCCTCTGGTCAGAAAGCAGGCCACAGCGTGACGGGCCAGGTGATGAATCCACCCCTCCTGTCTCAGCTGGGTCATAATGGCATCAATCCAAGGGAAACCAGTGCGACCCTCAGCCCACTTAGCCAGAGCTTCTGGGTTCTGGTCCCATGGAATCTGAAATGTATTTTAAACAACAATTGCTATAACCAACTGTAAGAGTAACTAGGGGTAGGCCATATCTCGATATTTTAAATATATCGAGATATTTTTTAAACTCGATATGGATTCTGACATATGGTATATATCGATATAATGCTTATATTCAATTCTGATTTCGCCGCTTCGCTTGTTTGCCTTCTCTGTGCACACCCCTGCCTCCCTGACTTTGCTTGCTTGTGTCTCATTCTCTCTTCACTACCGCCGTGAATAACGAAAGTTGGTGCCAGTGAAAACCTTCTAGCACCACGAACCTTTTCCACCATTTACAGACAAGACCATCAGCAGCACATCCTCATATTCCACTGAGTCGTGTACTTTAGTCCGAAAGAAGCTGAACCGTACAAGCGGCACAAGGAGTGCACTGTTTATGCAAATTAGCCACGTACTTTTAAGTTTTGTTTCTGTTAACCATAAACACATGTGCGCAAAACTGCATTAAACACATTATAATCTCAAAAGGGCTGATGTGGCTCTAGAGTCGTTTTGCTTTAAATGTTGAACAGTTTAGTAATGTTAAGTTTATTTATGCAGAAGATTTTAATCAATAATCTGCTGCAGAGTGTAACTTGTACAACAGTGTTTGGAATCGTTGGGTTTGATCTACGCAGTGGATTGTGGGGAAACCTCATAGCTGCTTACGCTGGTGAGGAATATGGATCTGTTAAAATAAGGAACCTCCCAAGCTTCCTCTGCTAAAGCAGCTCATAGTTATTGTACAGTTAACAGAGCTAATGCAAAGATGAGCTTGAGTTGAGTTGTTTTATTTATGAATGAAAAGAAGGAAATATGTATTATTTCTTTTATTTTACAGTTAAATTATTATTTACGTAATCAAAGATTTTTCGTAATCTTAAATGTGGCAGAAGCACTTTGTTCCTACATGAACTGTGTACCTCTTGCACTTCAGTAAAAAAAAGACCTTGTGGAATTTGGCATATTTTTTTTTACAGGAGTTTTTGGGGGGTTATTTTTCCTGTACAGATATCGAGATATATATTGTATATCGAGATAAAGTAAAATATATTGAGATATAATTTTTGCTCCATATTGCCCAGCCCTAAGAGTATCTACAGTAAAATGTAAAGAAAATGTATAATTAAAGGTTGGGGAACCTGAACACAGATGGGGTTCCCCTCCATGCGGTCAAAGTTGGGATTGTTGGTGGCAGCAGTGTAAAAGAACTCTCTCCATAAGAGCTGCCCGAAGAGGGAGAGAGGGGGACTACAGCGCTTCCGCAGCTTATGGGAACAAGACAAAGGCAAAGGAAGTTTTATTTATTTAATGAAATCAAGGAGTCAAGATATTAAATAAATATACATAAAACAAGATATATATTTTTTAAAGTAAAAGAAACTTAAAGTTGTTACCTTCATATAAAGCTCTCTTAAGTTGTAGTACAGGACGCGACAGGACAGACAGCCAAAGCGGAGGTAGGGGCTGAGGCCAGTGGGGCTGGCATACAGAGAACATGTGCTCACCCGAGGGTGCTCAATACTGGCCACCCATACCTGAAAACAGAGGAAACCCGTTTTCACTGTGGGTCCATAATCCTTCTATGTGTGTAATAGTCAAAAAGCTGTACTTGAGGTAATGAGTGGAAATAGTCTTAGACAACTAACTACCTTCTTGTCCAGGTGTTTGTTGAGTCTTTCCAGCGCCTCAGACTCCCCTCCTCTCCACACAGCTGTAGGCAGCCCTTCTGTTCGAAAACCTGACATATAAGGACAAGAGTTACAAGCAATCCAAGTGGAATTTTGTGATTGATGACATTCAGTATAAATCACTTAAAGAAGTACTAAATATTGTGATACCTAGTTCTTCTAGAGAAGGTATATTGTAGAGCTGGTCGTGGTTGTCAGAGATTTTCGTGTGACACTTGTCCATCTGCTGTGGGGTGATGGGTGGCAACGGTCTCCGGGGCAACTCCAGTCTGCTTACAATCGTCTGAAAACGCTTAAAGGTCAAAGGAGGATTGTTGTTGTTCATCTCAATGATCCTGTAAAGAACAAAAGAGATACAGAGATAGTGAAAGTCTCATGCCTATATTGTCCATATTTGAACTAGAAACAAAGCAATACAATCAGGTCAGGGAGAACAAGTTACTGTACATTACAAGAAACACATTGAATCAAGCATTGAGGTTAAGTGAAATGATCAGATAAAATTTAGAGATTTAATATGTGTATACAGTTAGAATTACTTTTTGTTTTTCCACACTCAATTAGTGCAATTTTCCAATGGGAATTTTCAAAAATGAAAAAATGTCAAAGCTTAGAAAACATATAACATATATAGTCACTCAACTATATACAACCTATTTTAACAGTTAGACAAGTTTTTAGTAATATAACCCCGACCTCACTTTAATTAATATAATGTGCCCTCTTCCACCAAAGAGGAAGTGTAAAACAATACAAAACATGACAGTTTTGCAGCATGTTAAAACTTTGTTAGGTCTCTCAGCTAGATTGTGAAAGCACCTGCCTTTGCTTAAATTCAGATTGCTATGCTTCTGTAATCCCTCCTTGGCTTTCCTTAAACTGTTTATAACTAGAGTTTTTACTTTAAAAATTGATATATTATTATTCATTTATAAATTTTTATTGTTAGATCTGACTGTTTCATTGTTTCTTTATGTATACTTTTGGTATGCTATTTTATTATTTTATTTTGTATCGTTCTATGCTGAGTGTACAGCACTTTGTAAACCTTTATAAAAGTGCTCTATAAATAAAGATTTATTATTCTTATTAAATTCCCTGTTCCCTGTGTATATTTATGTTTGTTGTGCAGTCTATTCACAGTCACTGTTACAATTCCAACACACTGCTTAAATTAAAACTTGCACAGTGACACAACAGATGAAGGGCAAAAGTAAAAACACTGGATTCATAAATAATAGCAGTTTGCAATGTTTGTCCAATAGAAAAAAACCCTGTATTTATAGTTCCGCCTTATACAACCAGTCTCGGCAGCCGCCAGTTGGTGGATTTGCTGCAGTGTCAGGTTCCCTATTGGTCCATTCACTGTAACAAATATAAACTCAGCTGAACACACAAGCTAAGCCCTCACACTCTCTCACACACATGGTCACCATACTCTAGTTTATTATGTAATCCCAAGATGTAATACTGGCCTTGTCCGTATACACTAGTACCCCAGTATATAGATGGCAGCACTGAGCAATACTTGTAAGATCAAGCCTCATGATAATCGCTCACATCTCATATTATGCAGCCACCTGGCCTCAGCACATTGACAGTGGTGACGCCAGCAGCAGCTTTACCACACAACCACCAGGGGGCTCATCTTGTAACACTTCTGATGCAGCTAAAAAAAATACATTTTCTGTGGATGACCAAAACTGAGGATTTCCAACACTGAGTAAAATAAAACACACATTTATTGGAGGGAATGATTTACTTCGACCTTGATTATAGCATTTTCAGCTATAAAACTATGACAACATAAAAACTGTATACAATAAATGCTTTTGCTGGAAAACCTACATGTTTTGCAACATGTGTTAACTTTGCAACATTTGTTAACAGTAGTCTTGCATAATATAATGATGGGCTGACTGGTTACACAAGCATATGTAATGTGTTGTACCATGATATTCATTGAGTTTATAATCCTGCTTTCCCTAACAATCGAAGAGAATGTATAAACCTTAACTCTTCATCTTAAAAGCCTGTGAAATCTTTGTTACTGTATGTAACCTGTAAGATCTTTAATTAGCAATAGATGCAGTATTTGACCTCAAACCGTCTGTGAAAAGGTCCTTAAAAAGCTGAAATTTAACTGATGCATGAATTAACTCTTAATTAATGTAGAATATAACTACAGACATATTTATAATATTTTTTAAAAGACACAAATGGTTGAACGAGAGCTCTGCTGCTCTAAAGCTTCCTTCCTTCAACTATAATGCATGCAGCTTCCCTTGTGTTTTTTTCCCATAACAATATCAGGCTGTCTATTGTATAGGGAATATGAAACACCTGACCCCACAGTGTTAAACAATATGTAAATGTTTGCAGAAAAGCTATTCTAAACTACAGTAGTACACAACGCAGGAGGAGTGAAGTTAACAGACCTGTCAAGGTTGTACAGTGTGTGGGAGTTTCTGACGAGGGTCTCCACACCAAACTCCTGTGCCATTTTGATAATGGCCCCATCTCTCTCCTTCCCATAAGGCTCTGGGTCATACTCAAAGGTTAGCCTTGTCACATTCCACTCCTGCATTTAAAATGACAATAGTTAATAGATTACACAATAAGGAAAACACACATTTCCTTATGAACGGGTAAAGGTTTCTTAGTTAAAAAAACAGCATAGTTTATGTTATATGATCCCAACTGCAGTGGAACACACCCACTATTGCAGTAAAAGCCTAACAATGACTATCCACTCATGGCAAAAGAAAGCAATGTACTGTGTGCCAATTTACATCAAATGTGGAACATAATGTATGGTGTGACAGATTTATTGTATAGTTTTGTGGGTTTCATATTGATACTCAGTGATACTGAATGCAAAATTTAAAATTATTTAATTGAGCATATGAAGTTTAAAGGTGATTTTAATATTGCATGCACTGCAAGTCCTGTATGTGTGTAATGTAAATCTCTTATCTTATATTTGGAATAAGGTTCACTTATCCTTTGTGAAGGAAATTCTTTCTCTCCATTTGTTCCGCTCATTTGCTTCAACTCATGCCACTGGTGTACATCAGGAGCAGTGAGCTGTTGCTTTACAAAACTCAGGGACCCAGCTCCAGATCTTGAACTTGGCTTGGTCAGGACTATTTTAGCTGGAGGACTGGCTCCCTACTGTGCATGTGTTGGGTTGATTGGGGAAGCTGGAATGTCCAGATAAAAAACCCATCCAGGCACAGGGAGAGTATGCATATTCTGCAAGGAAAGGCCTGGGCCGCTGAGCACGGTATTTATGAGACTATGTTGCCGCACAGCTGTTAGCAGAGTTATTTATTTATTTAATATACAGTAGCTGTGCTGACCTTTTCTTGTTACATAGTTCATGCATGCTACTAAGGTTTTGGATATGCACATTTTCACTTTGTTTTTCTTTCAACAGATGAGAAACATTGTGTTCAAACTACTAACCTTAAAGAGTCTGGGGAACACATCTGTTGGTTGGCCTCTGATGACAAACAGCCTGGAGTTGAGCTTCTTTAGACTGTTGTCCAGGTCCTCGAGAGCCTCTAGCAGGAACCTGAAAAAATACCAAACGTAATGGTTAGTATAAATAAAACAAATACATGTCATTATCTATTTAGACAGCCACCACACACTCTCAGCCTCATCCACCAAAGAACAAACAGTAAGTTCATTTTCATTCAGCTGCATACAGCAAACTCTGGCATATGTAAATTCTTAATTCAAAATATGGTTTGAAGAGTAAATATTTCGGGATAGAACACCCACCAATTAGTATATTTGAATTTTGTAGACATAATTGCAGATAATGGATGTTATCTTAATTTAGGTTTGCTGCCAATCTACAATCTTTAGTAACCTATAGATAATCATAGTCTACAAGTCAATTAGTTGCACAGTGTAAAATATGTCATCTACCAAGCTGCCTATTTTAGCCGCCCAACAAGAGACAAGACCCATATGATATAGACTGAAATTAATAATGTGGTATGTCGGTTCATTCAATGAAAATTAAGACTAGCTAAAGTGTTACCTCCTTCCACATGACGCCCTGAACTTTAGAGATACTAACCACTGTTGACATGTTCCCTCTCATTTCGACCACAAAAACAAAAACTCGTTGTACTATTAAACTAAAAAACGCAGTAAGTAACACACGGGATAATTGCTGTCTGTCTTTTTATAAGGAGCAATAATATGACAACAGGGCTCGAAATGACAAAATACATGTTTAAGGAGGTGTTTTATGTCGTAGGCTAGCATAGCCGCTAACTAACATGCTATGAAGGCCTGAACCATTGCCGTTACGCACCGCATCTTTAAAACATCCACATTTAGGCTCATTTTAAGTAGTTCACCCTACTAAACATTTAAAAGTAAGGAAAATAATGCTGCATCGGTTTATAACAAACCTCCATCGGTTAATCCCAACATTAGCGGCGCCTGCAAACCACGGGTCCAGGATATAAACACAGCGCACTGTATCCGCTCCATTCAGGGCCTCCTGTAACGCAGGATTATCGTGCAGCCGCAACCCTTTACGAAACCAGTGCACCGAATTTACCACCATCGTCTCTCTTAATCCATCTCCAAAAGGAAATACGAAGTCCACAGCCAAATCTTTGTAAACTATGTGAAACTAGACCAAGCACAAACAACACTCGGTAAACTTCTAGAGCTGTCAGAGACAACCCAACACCAAACGGGACGTGGGCTGGCAGTGGGCGTGAACAACACCTGACATCTCTGAGTCGGTCTGTGATTGGAGCCAAGGATCCGCGTCAACGGGAATTATAAAAGTGCAGCGCTTTCATTGGTAGATCACGTTACAGCACAGCAAGAGAGAGGAGCCCTGTCACGTTTAGAGAGAGAGATGGTCCGTGCTGCAGCTGAACAACACTGAAGTCAACACTGGACAACTTTTCCATGTTATACAAGTCTGCTCTTGATGCAGCTATGAGTCAAGAATATTTTATTACAACACTGAATGGAGCTTGAAATGGCCGACATGATATAACAGCAAGAATTGTCTACAAAAGCTAGGCCTACATCTGTCCCACTGCACCAGGCAGCAGATGTTCCTGAATGCCAAACATAGATAATGCATTTGTTATTAGGGAACAAATAAATTTGCTTTCACCTCTTGAAAGAGGACAAACAATTTTAGGCTGTTTCATGTATCATTAACAACAACAAAATAGGCTAAAGACTACTTTCTCTAATACAAGCCTACACCATAGACTGGATTCGTTATACAGTGTATGGCCTACACTATAATAAATGTTGTATAGCCTAGTATTGCCAAATGAACTTGAAGTTGTGTTTTAAACTTAGTTCCTTCCTTAGTTCTTCAAAAATAATTTCCCTTGTGGATTAATAAAGTTTGTCTAAGTCTAAATAATTGACCTATGTGTGTGTGTAAATTCATTCACTTTCACTCCCACTAATGTTAAACATGTCTGTCACAGTGTCTCCATGGTAACGTCATCATAGTGAAGTTGACAGACAATCCAAACAATCTGTGATTGACTCAAATCCTGGACAAATCTGGAGTGTGAAAAAAAGCAAGTTTTGAAGGTAACACATTCATATTTATTCTTAGATTAAAAATATAGGCCTGTCGTTTTTAAAATTAATTGAACTAATAATAATTTCCTTGAATAAATTTGCTGTTTTGTTATTTTCTTTTGAAAATGTTATTTTTATGTGAAAATGAGATCAGTGACCCAGTTAGCAAACACCAGTTAGCAAACGCTAACCTTAGAACCCACAAGCATGTGGGTTCTAAGGTTTTCTTTTAAAAAATGGATGATTTCTGTGAGTTTATGTCTGTAGATGTGACATGTCAAATCTGAGCTCATTTGGACCAAACCCCGGGGACTTGATAAGCTATGGCATTTGGGTATGTAGTGCTATTGTGCACATGCCAAAATTAGGTGGATGGAAACAGGTTAAATAAATTTCTGCAAGAAAGATTTTTGTTACATAAGAATCCAAATAATATTAGGGTATTGCAAAAAGCTTCTAAATGTGGAAGAACATGATGTTATTTCATTCATTAGCATTATCTTATTCAATATTTTGTCTTGGATCTCTTCCAGCAATGCCTGGTGATGAACCGTGGGTTTGGGTCGTGACAACCTCATAAACCCCAGGGCCCTGTTGCTGCTATGTACAAGAGCCTACACCCAAAATACGCACTGCCTGGACTTACAGGTAAAAGTCTTCATTTATTTCTATGTAATCCCTCATACAGTTTGCAAATTATATCTGGTCTTGTCAGGTCACCATTTCTGTTCAATAATAGGAGGACATATATTAAAATTTGACATCTAGCTACCTTTTACATTTGTACAATTTTGTTTTATTCTTAAAGGGGATAAGGGGCACTATTTGACCAAATATAAAGCACCCAGCTACAGCTTTGGGACCCGTCATGAGCTGCCCACGCCCAATGTTTCCCCTGGACCCATATACCTGGTGCCTTCCAACATCACACGAGTGGGCAAGCACAAGCCACCTGCCTTCACCCTGCACGGGTGCCCAAAGGAGTGCAAGTTATTCCAAACACCCGGACCAGGTCAGCTGTATTAGGTTTTTGGATTAACCAGACACAAAGCTTATACAGTAAATAAAACTGAAAGTAGTTACTGTCAAGTACAAACATAGGTAACTTGATTAACAGTAAAAATCTGTACAAAATATCCCCTTAACGCCGACTGTCATAAATATGCAACAAACCTTTTGAATCAAGATATAAGCCAAGATAGCGGCTACATTTCCCAAGTGCCGGTTGGTGCATATGCAGTACATTTCTAGGAAGCTTTGGCAAGCACTTGGTTCTAGTTTTTGCAAATTTACAACATATCCAAATTTCTATGTATTTTTTTGCTATAGTCAAATTAATAAACACATACAAAACATTTTTTATATACATCTATATAAATTCAGGTGTTAGGTGCCATACTAAATTGTTGCACAATTACCTGACCAGAATCTTTGTTGGTACATTAGGACACTATTAACCAGAAAAGTCAACAAAGTATGTGTTTCCGACTTCTCCTGTATTTTCAATGCCTGGAAGACACAAAGAATTCACAAATGACCATGGACCAGGTGAATAATTTATCAGTTTTCATGTTTCAGTATTTTACTTCGATAATGTCACTAACTGGTGATTCTCTGTGCAGGCCCTGCCACATACAAGCTGCCTGATTTGATCGGTGCAAAAACTATGTTCACCTCATCAGCCCCCATGTACTCAATGAGTGGACACAGAAAAACAGGAGGCTTTGCTGAGGACCTGAGCAAGGTATTTTTTTTATCACAGTGAATTCTATTTTTCTGGTATCCATGTAATTGTTACTGTAAGATTACCATAAAGTGACCAGTGGGTGTCTCTGTAGTTGGAGTCTGTCCTACGTAACATGACCTTTTTGTCTCTTCGCATAATCCAAAGAAACACAAATAAAATACCCCCAGTGAGACCCAACAGATGTTTGTGGTGAAACAACACAGTGTACAATTTTCTCTGTCCAGACTCCTGGTCCTGCTGCCTACAATGTTGTGGACACCAATCTCTACAAAAAAGGCCTCCTCAGTTTAGTCTGACGGGCCACAACTTTACTCCAAGAGACACCACCAACACGCCTGGTCCTGGAGCTTACTACCCAAAGATGGTAGATATTTATTTTACATTCAATATTAGTTCATCTGAAATATTAGGGTTAAGACATAGTAATACTATAATAATAATAGACTAGTAATTCAGATTATTATATTTAGTTCATGTTTTTCTTCTAGGTGACCTCAACAAGGCCTAACGCCCCTAGTTTCACATTTGGAGTGCGCCATTCTGAATATGTTACAGTTTTCATTGAGGATTGGGCTGAATAATGCTGGTGTCCCATGTGAACATGGGAGTGAACACGAAACTGAATAAAGAACCCAGAGAGCTGCTTTGTGTTTCTCATATGACTTTTAATAATGCAATGTGTTGGCATAAATCATACAGCAGATAAAGAATAAGAATGATAGTTGTGGGAAAAATTATATATCTTTTGATGATGAATAATTAATCCATTTGCGAAGCCCGATAAATTTTTGGAATTCAAGCAAAGTCTCTCCTCCAGCACCATGTCCCTCCAACGTTAAACCCCCCTGAGCATCCCAGATCTGAGTCTCTCTCCCAAAGCATTTGAGCTATGAGTAGTTATACAGAAATACAAGTTAAATACATATCAAAGCGGAGTGACTTTTGTAACATACATTTGAGGACAGGTAAGACAACACACAGTTGACCACCTGAGGTTGGAGACAGTTGTGTCTGCTGAACCTTTATACATGTTAATGACTGGTCTGGGTCTCAGGTAGAAATCACATTAATTTACACAAAGACAGACTGAGAGAAGTCTTTACACAAAATAAATTTCCATCGCATATTCTCCCTTTTGATGATTATTATTATTGATCATTAATCATACTTCATATACATTGTCACAAACAGAGCATGCATAGAAACGTTGTGGATCTAAACACTGTCCATGGAGTTGAAGTGAGTTTTATTAGTTTGCTGAATTCAAAAGATGGAGGCAAATTCAACAGTTATGAATTTTCAGCTGGACTTTTAGGGCATGCACATAATTAAAAATCGATAGGCAAAACACAAAACAAATATCAATTTTAAAAAAAGAAAAATATAAAAAAAACAAGGAACTAAAAACAAGCCTTAAGTGCAGTCCTATCACACTGTTGACAACAGGCTCAAATGTTAAACACAGATTTTCTGACACTGCACAATTTACAGCATACAGTTTGACTGATCAGGTCCCAAGGACACACAAACATACAGTTGACTTTTGGTGTCACACTCTACTTAAGCACAATTTTCTTTTTTCCCCCCATTTTTTTCTCTATTTAATAATACTCAATTAATCCTAAAACATCAAAAACTTTGTACAGATTAAGTATTACAAACATTTCAAAGTGGAGTTTCATCATGAAAAGAGTCACAGAAAGGGAAGAGTTTTCTTCCCAGTTGGACTTGTGACACATCTGGACACACCCCCTGAAACTGCAGCACCTGTTGGTAATCACAATCACAATTTAAAAAGCTCTGAACGCTGAGTTTCCCTACTGCAGCTTTGGGGCCACTGGATGTCTTTCTAGCCTGTTTAGATTTCTGGAAGCTTTGGAGAATCTGTCAAAATGAGGTACTGTAAATGTGAATGTATATTTTTCATTGGATGTAATTCATATTTAGATTTTGATATTCAGTGTTTTTTCCAGGGTCCTGTGGCTGTCTTACCTTCTGTTTGAACTTGCTGTCTGTGTACCTGTGTTGGGTATGTTTAAATAAACAAAACAAATTACAAGTCTTTTGATTTGCAATACAATGTTGTTTTTCTTTATTTAAATCTCCAGACTATGGCCCTCATTCTGCTGGTCCCGTTCCAAGATACCAGGCCGCTCCCTACCAGACTGGCCCTCAAGTGTATAATCAATACAGCCCTTATCCAGGCGCTGCCCCTTCCAATTCTGGTCAAGACCAATATGTTTCATATGCTGTGCCTTCTCCTGGGGGTTCAAGCCAGGGACTGTATTGGTCTGCCCCTGCCAGTCCTGAATCTGTCCCTGTTACAAACCAGCTTCCGCCGCAAGAGTTGTTCTTCAGTGATGTGTCTGGTTTGGAACCTGTCTACAGTCTCAGAGGTCGCTCCAGATATCAAACGGGGAGATCTGTGTTCGCTCAGTCCCGTTATGTCCCAGGAAAGCCACAGCCAGTACCTCACCCTCTACCCTTTCCTGGATTCTTTCTCCTGCCCGTGCCTAATCCTGCCCCACAACCCCAAGATTTCAGTCAAGCGGCACCCTATCCTGTGGCACCCCAACCTGCGGCACCCTATCCTGTGGCACCCCAACCTGCGGCACCCTATCCTGTGGCACCCCAACCTGCGGCACCCTATCCTGTGGCACCCCAACCTGCGGCACCCTATCCTGCTGCACCCCAACCTGCGGCACCCAATCCTGGCTATACTCCACTCCAATGGGGTTTTGTTGAGAAAAGTGAACAGTAGTCAGTTAATTGACTCTGCAAACTTCTAATTTCTGTGGCAGTACCATTGTATAATAAACATTTTACTTCGATACCTTGGACTTTGATTTCAGTGCTTTATTTGTGCATTTTTTTTTTCGCTGTAATCTAGACCGAATCTTCAAATCTCAATTGAACCACGACTTTAGGCAAAGCTACTGACTAATGGCAGGTTTCCTTTCTCACAACTTTTATTCAGCTCTTTAATTTGGGTGAATCTCCAATACTTTAGTCTATGGTCCCAGCACGTTGAACTTGATTGCAGGAAAGTCACTTGGTAAAATATTCATTCACTTTTTAAACACTAATCTATATATACAACGCGCTATATTTGTAAATTCTGGTTGTGTTGCATTGAACTGTAAAAACACAAAATTTATGAACTAGGAGAATTCAGAGACGTTTGTTACATTCCTACATTTTAGCGGTACCTGAACGCAGCTTTACCCAAACACAGCGCGACGCACTCTGACGTATATTTCGGGCGCAATTTCGCATGTGTGTGTTTTTGGTTTTCAGACCGTTTTTGGCATGAGCAAATAACTTTATAGATTCAGATATTTTTAGTTTTGTATTATGAAATGACTGCGACTCTATTTTCGGCCATAAATATTCTCATTAAACCTGCTGGTGAGTGTTTCGCTATTGGCAATAATAGATCAATCACCTGTTTTCCTTTCTGTTCGTTTTGAGTCCACTGCTTTATGTCATAAACTGTATGTATTTTTATATAGTTCATACTGAGTATTTAGTTTCTTGTGCCGTTTTTTCATTTATAAGCATTTGTGCAATATTTGTAATGCTTTATCTTTGTTAAGACAGCTACTTCCAAGTCCACATGCATTCCACCATTTTAAATAGATGATTTACTAGACCTTGAACAATTTACATGCTCCGAGAATGCCAACCCAAGCTTTGTAGGGTTCTTAGCATAATGTAGCTCTAAACTAGAAATATAACTCTAAGATGGCTGTGGACTGCAACAAAATTATGTATCAGTATTGTAATTAGGCCACCAAGCATCCACATTGAAATCCAACTGAATACAGCTAGACAAAGAGTCCTTTAATTAAATGTTCAGTTGTTTTTAATCCAATTATTTCCAATTTCTGTAGAATCTGTTGGTAATTCCCTGACATCCCAAGAGGAGGCGCTGCTCTCTGCTCTCCAGGCCAACAGGAGGTGCCTGCTGCAGCACTTGGACTCTGATCCAGGTTTTGCTGAGATTCAGAGGCTCAGAGATGAAGTTATCTCTGAGTCTGTTTGGTTTTGCAGTGAATTAGACAATGACCACATTTGGGCCTATGTTCAGGAGTGTCTTCTTTTGCTACTTGCCCTCACACGGCATCTCTCTCTGGAGTTGGATTTGTTCAAACAAACCCCTCAACCAGTCAACAGAGTATGCACACCTGAGTCTGCCCCACCATTACCCCCTGATGTCCTTAGCGTTTCCCAGCAGAAGACACTCACCACTGCCCTTCAGTTTGTCATCTCCTTGGGGGTTTGTCCGTACCTGGCTCCGGGGGTGGGGGTTCCTCTGGGCTGTCGGTCTGCATTTGGAGCAGTGGTGGACAAGCTGATCCAGAATGGGACAAATAAAACACTTGGACAGCAACGCCTTCTGACCATCATAAATGTCCTGTTGAAGATGACAGAGCTGTCTTCTCTGGCTACAGTTGTCTTCACGCGACACCTGGGAGATCTAATGGCTGCATTGTGTCAGCTCGGATACCAGCCTCCCAAAAAAGAAAAAGAGACATCTGAAGAGGGCAAGGTAATGTAGGCTAGTCATGATAACAGAATTTGAAGTACAATATGTAGTTACAGAGAAATATTGCAATAAATGGTAATATGAATGAAACTACTTTGTGCCACTGTTACAAAGCAGGATAATCTCAGTAAATCTGTTAGCCATAGAAGTTATTCTATCTACAGCTCAAATCACATTATACTACTGAAAAATGTAAAAAACCTCCCCACTATTGGAAATAAATTGTACACACAATAAATATAGAGCCCCATAATATATTGTTCCAGCGTTCATATATTGAACGATAAGTCGAATTATCATGACTGGGCCAGGTCTTAATTAAATATGTAACTTGATTAGAGACCATTTTTCAATAACATGTCTGAATGAACTTTAGACTAACATCCACCCAAAAGTAGCTATACTGTGTATATAGTATATTTATTTAGTAAATTAAGCATATGTTTTATTGACAGTAATAATCAAAAACACTTTTTATTCCAACAGGAGCTGAGTGCTGACCAGCGAAACAGATGTCGTGAGAATCTCAAAAACCTTCTTGGAAAAGTTTATCAACCAATAGTCATTAAAGAGTTGCTAATACTTCAAGGTCCCAAGGTTAGAAATTTGTTAACTTCTGAATGTGTGTAATGTGACACTTCCAACCTGCCATAAAATTGCATCTTTTTTTCTCATCTTTTACTCTAGTCTGTTCCTGTGGGGAGCTCCGGTAGCAGTGTGGCTCAGGGGTGCACCCCAGCCTGGCTCAGGCGTTTGTGTGGGCAGTTGCTGTCAGAGCGCCTAATGCAGCCTCATGGAGTCCAGGCAGTGGTGAGGGCCATTCTGGAGGGAACAGGTCAGCACACATTAATCAGTTCAATAGACAAAGAAAAGCTCAGTTACACAACTTGAGATCTGAAATTGTTATATTTATTATAACTGGAAAATGTATGCAATCTTTTATTTCAGGGGCAGACTCGGACTGGAGGAAGTGTGATGGTGTGGCCAAAATCCTGGTGACTTGTCCTCAACAATCTATATCAACAGATAGCTACTACAAACAAGTGTGCCCTCAGGTTAGCCTCATACACACACATACACATTTATCCAGCTAACTTGCCACTGTGACTAGTTTGCATTATGCTGTTACACAGTATATAGCAAAACATCTCCTTTGCTTAATGACATGTTTAATCACCATCAGTCAAATGTTTTCTGTTGTGTAGATCTTGGACATGCTGCATTTCAAAGACAAGCTGACAGCTCAGCGGTTTCAGCGAGTGGCCACTACAGCACTGCTCGTTCTGGTGCAGGAGAAGAGCACCTTTGCACAACAGTACCTTTTAGCTCCTATGTTTGCACCTCTGCATCGCTGTATCACTCCATCAGGTCGGTAACACAATCATTTCTATTTCTGTGTACTACTGAAACTTATCAATCTCAAGAGTATTGACAAGTTAGTTTGAATGTATCTATGGGTTCTCTTTTTCAGTTCATGAAATGTATGGCTAGTGACATTTTAACATGTCACTAGCCATATTTTTTTTATTGTTTTTTTTAATTGTGTCAACAATGTATATTCATATTTGATCTGTGTTTTTAGACCCAGGCCTGTCTCAAGATGCTGTAGAGGAGTGGGAGCTAACACAATGTGTAGATGATTTGTTCAAAGTGAGAAGTAGTTTCTTCTTTATCCTTTTTCTGGACGTTATGGTATTTTGTAACTACAGTGTCCTGTCCTGTGGGTTTCAGGTCTGTGTGGTGGGGAACCAGCCTTCAGCTCCTCTCCTCACAGCTTTACAAGAAGTACTGTCTGTTATCTTTACTCTGTTCTGTTTTACCAAACAGAATGTCTCACATCTACGGTAATGTTTTCCCCAAACACTGCTTCAAAAGAAACATGAAAAAATAAAAATAAAAATTAGACATGCCGTGTTCAGTCGTTCATATTTCTCCCCACAGTGGTCCCTGTCAAGAGATCATGCTGTGGTACTTGAGCCAGTGTGAGCAGGCTGCATCTCTGTCTGCCCTGAGGGAACTCTCGGGTCTGAAACAACATGCACACCAGGTGGCACCAGGATTTCACTTTTGCCCTGGCAGTGATGGAGGAGTGAAACTCAGATCAAGGGACAGCTGCAGGTGACTTAAACCACTTTAACTTGGTATGTTTTGTATGGTTTATGGCATTAATTAGAGCTGTCCTGTTTGTTAGTGATGAAGATGATGCTCTGTATGAGAAGTTGTCCGGGGAGCAATGGAGACTGGAGTGTCTAAATGAACTTCTGACTCAGCTCAAAGAGAGTGACTTGCCTGGAGACTTCTTACTTGACCTGCTGCAGGTATACAAACTTGAAATATGTGATAAAGGAGCTAACTGTCATTTGATTTCTAGAGAATACCCCCTCAACTATGTATTACGTTTGGACCTTTTTAAGCTTTTTGCCAGTAAACTTGTATGAAAACAAACATATTTTTTCAAGAACCTCTTTCTGTCAGCTGTTACATGAAAAGGAAGTAAAAATATGCTGCTGTAGCAAAGTTTTATTACACTTTGCTCATTATTGTATCTAGTTTAAGCCCCTTAGGAGTAACCCTGTTTGCTGGTAGGATCTCACAAGCTGGGCTGCTGAGGCTGATGAAGGGGATCATCAGGATCTGTCAGAGATGAGTCTGTTGGAGGTGGAGCAGAGTATCCTATCCCGTACTGAGCGGCAGGCCCAGAGGCTGGCTTTGCTGCAGGTTCTGGCTGTGATGGTTGAGTGTCTGCCCCATACTTTACTGCTAAGGAAGCCTACACAGGTCAGTCTCATCAGTACATTGACAAACCCTGTTCCTGTACAGAAATTCTATTGCCTGGTGAGACAGCCCATCCTACTTTCAGTTTGAATATCTTTATAAAGTATTTTAAAAGCATGTCCATAGTCTTGGCAGGTGGTCAGGCAAGAAATGTTACTACAAAAGTGTGTCCTCTACTACATTTTAGTGTGTCCTCTACTACATTTTAGTGTCCTAAAATGTCCTCTATTGTACTGAATAAACATAAGTCTGCATCTTTATTCGATAGCTGCTAGGAGTTTAGTCAGAGTCATGGGTGGTAAATGTTGTGCTTTTAGTGTGTGTGGAAACGTTGTGCATTTTCTCCTTGACTTTTAGACTAATCTTTTTACAATAGCCAAGAGTGTCCTATATTTCCTCCTCATCTGTTTTATTTTTGGGTCTTTAAACAGACCGAACAGTGACAGGACTTGTAACTTCCTGTAGGGGTCACCTTCCTCTTGATTTTGCGTCACACTCACTCCATTGTTTTAAGTCAGGAGTTGCTCCCACAGGAGCTATAAAACAAACAGGGCACACTGAATTGTGTTATATAAATGTCTGTCTTCTGGAGACAGTTAAGATGTTGACAACCTATATTTTAAGTAATCACTTTACTAAAATTGTAGAGCTCAACTTGTACCTCAAATATGGAAATGTCTGCGAGAGAGACAGTGATAAGATTAGCTCTTAACACAGGCCTCTTGTTGACCATGCCCTTTTAAGGGCTTTTTTATTGTATTGAAAAAAAAAAAAAAAAAAAGCTCAAAGATAACGAACAAATCAGTTTCACACAGTACTTGTATAAGGCCCTGGATAGGAACTGCCTTTTAGACTGTTACTGATAGTGTTTCTGAACATTAGCTTGCTATTTTTTTTTTATGACTACTGTGACAATAATTAAGCAAGTTATCAATATAAAATAAAAAATAGTTGCATGAGGGGGGCTAATGGTTTTTATTGTGTAATTCTCAGTCATCATCCTTAAGTGTGTCACTAGTCATTGTATTGTTCTGTTTCAGGTGGTGGACTTCATACTGTCTTTGCTCCAGAGAGCTTGTGTAGGCCTCAGTGATGAGCCTAGCTCCAGATGTGAGAATCCAGTGGAGAGTCAGACATTGAGCATGGGCATGGGTTTGGTGGCCACTCTACTCTCTGTTCCTCAGGTACAGATAACTATTGTAAAGTAATCCCATGATCCTGGAGGATTACAGAATGCTTTGACATGACTACATATTGTATCAAGGTGACTTTTTATTAAATGCAGAATAAGATACAAGAGGCATTTTTCATGATGCAGCCTAATGCACTCAAGTTATTGCTGACATACACAGTTTTCGCAATACTGTATAAAGACACACAACATCTATATTTTACTCATTCAACCCAGTGCAAAATATCATCTGCCTGTTAACAATTTTCCTTCTGTACTGTTTATTCAAACTCTATCCTATTTTCAAAAATCAATAAATACAATGTTAACAATAAATATTTTCAGGTGAGCTCAGAGGACTACCATTACATGTCTCACCTGCTGTCACCGCTGGACACACTGTCTAAGCTTCATCCAGAGGTCTTCATCCAAGAGTTGGCCTCAAACCTCAAAGCTGTGATTGCTACACATGGCGCCTATAAGCCTGATGATCTCTCCACTGCTCACTCATCCCTGAAGTCTGATACAGTGCAAACAAAGCAGACTTCAAAGACCACCAATAAGACTAGCACCACTTCCTCTACACATAGTTCATCGAGTCATGCTAAAGTGCCCCTTAAGCAGCCGGCCACTTCTGAAAACGTCTCCATGAAGCCTCTTTCTGATTTGATCTTGGAGGCTTGTGATCCAGATGTACCAACAAAAGCATTTGCACTGAGAGGCCTTACCCAATTGGTGCAAAGAAGAGATCCAGAGACAATTCTAGCCCATGATAAAATCCTTGTGGTAAGTTTGGTATTAATTTGCTCTCAGTGTAAACTTTGGATTTTCTGTGCTTCGTTAGAAATATCTATATATGTAAAATACTAAATAGAGGGGCTATCGTTGCATTGTGCTTCTCGAAAAACATGCTATTTCTGCATGGTTTGTTTGTACAGTCATTTAAGTCACATTGTATCACTCAGTCTTATTGTGAGTCTTTTAGGTCATTCTTGGAACACATTTATATTTAATAAGGCTCTAGTCTCTCCAGGGCTTCAGCTGGCTCCATGGACCCAGGGGACTTGTTAGGGGCTACAAGCCAGAACGGATAATGATTCATTGAGAATTCCCTTTCATGGAAGTTCTACCTTGGTTAACCTTGAGAACCGACTTCTTGGCTCTCTGTAGGGGTCCCATAGACCTCCTGAGGCAAATATCTGGATTATTCCTTTTGATAACATGGTTATAATATAGTATACTGTGTGTTATAGTATGGGCTGAATGAAAGCTATAACAATATTTGCAATTCTTTAACATATTTTTACCTTGTCTAATATCTTTATTTGTACCATTATACACATTTTACAATATATAAATTTAATTAAATTTTAGTTGTTTCTCTGTCCTTAGCTCTTTTTAGAAAATTTGGAGCATGAAGACTCATTTGTCTACCTCTCAGCCATTCAAGGTATTTCTTTCATTCACTGTCTTATTAATCATATATTATTCTTATTAATATTAGTTAATAGACGCATTTACTGCTGTGCAGAAATATAACAATCTCTCTTAATGTCAACACATCTTATATTAACAGTTTAATTCATACTTTCATAATATTTTCTAATACAATTATTAATTGTTCTTTCTGCACACTTACTCTAGGTTTGGCTGCTCTGGCTGACTTCTTTCCTCAGAGGATCCTGGAGCGGCTGCTACAGGACTTCCAAGCAGGACCCTCTCTATCCACATCGAACAAGCACCGATCACTGGAAACACGGCTCAAAGTTGGAGAGGTTTTAATGAGAGCCACTAGAGCCATGGGTGAGCTGCTCTGTTCTTAATTATATCTTTTGAAGAAATTATTGAAAGCTCTTTAAAAAAGATGAGACACTGTTTTAACATTGAGTAACAAGTGTTTTTTGGCCTGCATCTCTTTAGACGGGTTATATCAGGTTTCTAGACCTGAACCATGAAAATGTTTTATACTCCCTATGAGATTACATTTACACCCTGTTTGGTGGACTCTCTGATGAATACATGAATAACCGGCTATAAAATGGTCTGGACTTTTAACACCTGATGAACTTGTCATACAAAAACTAAGAATCGAGGGGTTGAATTTTATGGATCAAAAACTGGGCACATTGCTGCTGCATCTGTTTTTGCAGGTGGTGTACACTGATATGCTGATGCAGTCTTGAGCCTTTAAATTTAGCAGTTTTATTCTAGGTGCTTACACACCACTCATAGTTATCATTATTGTGGACAGTGGGCAAATTTTTATGTATTTGAATTTCAATGATAAATTTTGTTCATTCTTTAGGGGAGCTGACACCGCACCTGAGCCGACCCCTGTTGGGGGTATTTCTACAGAGTACCAAAGACCCAGACCACAGCGTCAGGGCCAGCAGCCTGTCCAACCTGGGGGAGCTGTGTGAGAGACTGGACTATGCGCTGGGACCACTGACTCAGGAGGTGAACACCACCTGTCAGTTAACAATATTGGTCACAACAGATAACATGACCACTCATTAGCACGAGGGAATTTATTTTGTGTATAATAAATAAATGACTACAATATTAATGACAGGTACATGAGAAAATGTTATCTTATTTACCGGTATTTGAATACTGAGACTATACCCATACCCTACCCACTATACCGAACATGCCTTATGTGTTAGTTGTCCCTCATCCTCATGTGGCTGACTACACACCAGTCAATGTGTTCTGAGGTCAGCAATGAAGTGAAGCTGAATGTGTGGTTTTCTGACAAAGTGAAATGTCAAATGAATCCAGTTTCTTTGCTCTTGACCCTGACAGCTCAGCACCTGTCTGACGGCGCTGATAAAGACTGAGAAGGAGGCGGAGGTGAGGAGGGCTGCGGTTCACGTGATCGCTCGGGTACTGAAAGGCCTTAGCGACAAAACCACGCAGGTACTTCAACAGTTCAATACACAATTACTTTTGAAAGGGCTAACAGATCTCAGTATAAGTATACAGTCTATTTACAAACATTATTTGCTGTGTGATTACAAAACACCCCAGATGTTAAAGCCACAAATTTGAATAAGATATGTTCAACTGAATATAAGTAAGTAAGTAAAATTTTAAGTGATACTATTATTTCATCATAATTTTCTTCAAGATTTGACATAATTTTGTATGGAAAGCCATTCGCTGATATGTGTAAATGTGCAGGGTGCCAATGATCACTGAGTTTCATAAAAATGCTAATTATGCAAATGCATGTACAGATCTGTGCTGGCCTGGTGATTTATAATCCTTTGTGGGAGCTGCTTCATTATGTTTGCTGCCCTTCTACAAACATCAGGCCAAAAGTTCAAGTGTCAAAGTGGACCTCTGTGTGTCTCCATAGCCCAAGAATGTCCCTCCTGTCTCTGCGCTCTCCCTGTGGTCTTCCAGGTTTAATGAAGGACAGGGCATTGTGGCTGCTCCTGTAATCTACTCATCACTGCAGTTACTCAATAGAGTTTCTCACAGGAAGAGTAGGAAAGCCTTTGGGCTGTGTAGTTTGATGTTTTCTCTATAAATTGTCTAAATCAGTGTGAAAGTTTGGCAAAGTTAGTTGAGACTGAGAAAATTAAGATAAAACATCTTTTTTCTGACATGTGAATTTTTAACATTAAGAACATATTTAGCCTTCCATATGTTTGGGTTTTTACTTTGTTTATATTGAGCCATGTTAGATATGCGGCACGTGTGGTTTGAAAACACCAGAACTAAGCAAAAGATGGCAAAGTTACAGTTAGTAACTCACATTAAAGGTGCACTGCGCAAATTTTCTGGTAGAGGGCCCACTACCTTCTAGTCTCCATGATGTTATGACTTTCTGGAATGTTCCATAGTAAGACATTAAACATATCCATCTAGCATTTATTCATTACAAATACAATAATAATAAAACAATAATTCCTTCTGTGAATATGAGTAATTCTCCACAGATCTGAATTGTAATGTAGCTTAGTCTATAGGCATAATCTATACTGTGGAACATTCCAAGCAAAGCAAAGACATTTTTAAGGAGACAAGCAGGTGATAAAGGTTCACTGCATAACATTTCTAGTGAAGGATCTAAGAATGCCGGTTTTAATGTGTAAAAACCCCTACAATGTTTTATGAGATCAGTTTAACACCCTACACCATAACACCCAATCTCCATGTAGACAAGGAGGTGGTGGATCCTCTACCAGAAAGGTTGCGTAGTGCACAGTGCATACATAGTACTTACAAGCAGTCTACACACCTCTTTGCACAGCCCCTACTACAAACAGTATCAGGTTAATTGAGCGATTGTCTAGAGTCCTTCGTGCACCTCATTGAATTCACTTTTGCCATTAGTAAACGCCGGTATCAAACTCTGTGCTCAGCTGCTTGTGCTGGGACCTGTCATTAGCGGAACAGCTGGAGCAGAGGTGCCCTGGACCAGCTGCAGGGCCTTAATGACACACAGTCACATGGGAATAGGAGGGACTGGGGTAAAGTCTGGACAGTCTAATTAACTTAACAGGACCATTGGCTTTTCCTTTACTGCTATGTTAGTTTACCAAGTCAAATAAAAAGCTGCTGGAGTGTGAGTTATGAGCATCAGTCCATGAGAGTGCACAGGTAAATGTACTCTTTCTGTGCAATCACTCAGCCTTTTGGTTTTGTAGTGTGGTATATTAATCTCAATAGGTGGGCCTGTTGTCAGTTCATAGTATTGATGGCAAAGGAGAAATTCAACTTGTCAACTGGACACGTTTATTTTTTTTATTAATATCATTATTATTTTTATTTAAAAAAAAACTCTGACCAGTTGACAAATTGAATTTCTCCTTTGGCATGGATTCTACCAGGACAAGGGATTTTACACACATCTTCACAGTATAGAACATAACATTACACTGGGGGTGTTCTACAATGCATCTCTATTAGCAGAACATTCAGCAGTTGCCATGGTGACTGAATGCTTAAGTTTTAAGATAGTTTGACAATTCAAGAAAAAAAATCAAGATGGATTTAAACACATTTTCAGGAGCCTGTGATCAGTACAAGTGTTCATGATCCTGTTTTGCTGTGATTTTCAACAAAAAAAGTGAGAGTGAAACTGAAACTGAAACTGAAACTGAAAAACTGCTGGTTAATACTAGCTAGATTGTGGTTGTAATTTCATGTGTGAGAGACCTGGTTAACAGCACAAATCAGATCATCTGTTGTAGTTCCAACCAAATCAACTCCTCTGGTCAGATTGTGTGAAACTAAAGCTTGAGTAATAGAACTTCTAACAGAGTAGTGCTTTCAGTTAGCTTCACACCTCCAGTGAATGTTGTTGACATCAGCTGCAAAATATCAATACAAGATAAATTTAATGAGTTTCTGTCATAATCCACTACGTAGGTGAACGGAATCATATGTTATTGGCATGTTTCCAGTGGTTGCTAACTATGCCCTCTGTTGCCAGGTTCTTGCTGATGTGCTGCTGGACCTGTATCGGGCCCTGAAATGGGTGGTGCGCTCAGACCCGGACAGTGTGACAGTGCTCCATGCTCAAATCGCTCTCGAGGAACTGGACGATGTTATGAGAAAATTCATTTTTCCTGAGCAGAAGCTGGAAAAGAAGATTGTTATCCTCCCATAAACTCTGAACTTCTATTCCCCTTATTCCGCCCTGCTCAATTTTGTTTCTAAATGCTCCTAAACTGTGCTTTCTTGTGGTGACAGTTCCTGTGAAATGGGAAGCCCATTCATTTCAATGGAGAATTTGAAAAAAAGTTTAGCAGATTAAATATGACCTGAAGTAGGTTCATTTGTGTACATTGTTCAGTTTTCATGTGCACCGTCAAGTCAACAATGCATCGATTCTCTGGGGGTATTTAAAACAGCTTTATAGTCTGTATTGAATTTATTTGCTGTTAAGATTGGCAGCCCCATGCAAAATAAGGCAACCTTAATGATGCTGGCAGCGCCCACAGCAACTTCCAAAATAAGGTGAATATAGTAAACCATCAAAACGACTATACGTGGTTTTACATGTTGTGGATTACTATAAGAATTTACAACATTTTTTGGTTGGAAAAAAAACAAAACATACATGGCAAAGGAGAAATTCAATTTGTCAACTGGACTACATGGAGGACTGAGGGATTCTACACACATCTTGAAAACATTCACATAGATTTCTTCATTATGCTACACTTAGAACCTAATTTTTAATACATAATATTTATCTCAGATTATGCAAAACAACTCCTCTACCACTGCTACTACTTTTTTAGTGATGATATTGGCCCTGAAAGCCAAAGTTCAAAACCTTTGTTGTAAAAATGGAACATTAGATCAACCTTATAAGAAATATAATAGAAAATAAAGTTGCAGTGCTAATGGTGTATTTACCAACATAATATTATTAATGTAATGTTATGTTGTAATATTTGTTAGGGGTAAAATGTCACAGCAGGACTGCTCTTTTCTAAACAGGTAGGGTTTAAATCACATTGGACACAGCTGAGTGAGAATGGGTTCATTGGTTCAGGGCATTGTTTCTTTTGTGATTTTTTTCAGAGCTTGTTCATTGAGACTGATGTTGACAGTGTATGAGCCATGACCTTCTCCATCTCTAGTCCTGGGAGAACATTCAGAAGGCAAACAGCCACACTACAGTGTTGTTTGCAGTGCCGCCCCTGACCACCACTGTCAAGGCTGCCCTGTGGGTGACTCTTAAAAAACCACATGTAGGTCAAAATCACAAGAAATTCTCAAGATCTGCTAAATCACAACTTTATCTCTTATCTCTAACAATATATTTTTATCTATGGATCGCTCTTAACCATAATTAAAACATAAAGCTGGTTCTGTCTATATAAAATACTGTTAGTTGCTATAAGGTAAGCAGTGAAATGATGTAAAATACTAAAAGCAACATTTCAAGTGCAATAGTTAAGGTTAATGCAATTTAGAAATATAATAAATCAGAGCTATCTACTTTGTAGTAGTAGTTCAACAAATCATGTACAAAGGTCTGTTTCTGTAGAGCTGTGGGCGATATGGCAAAAAGATTAATCTTAGTCTTTTTTTCCCCTAAATTACTAATGATAATTTAATTGATCTTCATAACTTAAAATTCCTATATTACGCAAATGTCCTGTGAGTTTTAAGCCATGTTATAATGTTACTTCCTCAGAAACATCTGGAGTTGTGTTTTGTTTCAGTCACACATGTTTGAGTAACGCTTTATTCTATTCTATTTATTAGACTTTTATTAGTCTGTCTACCTCTCCAAAGCTCAAAAACCTTTGTTCCACCTTGTGTTGTGATGAAGCAGTTGTTTTCATGTTAACATCTTCCTTTTACCTATTGCTCCGTAAAGATCGTCAATTCCAGGGTTGATATGATCCAAATGATTCTAGTAAAGGTGTATGGAGTTTAAAAACACAGTGGAGCACTTCCTGCATACCACATGACATGACAAGGTGGAACAGTGTTTTCAGTTTGAGAGAAGAACTCAGCCTAAATATGGAGGGTTTGTGTGTTAAACATGAGTGAATGAAACAAAACTCCCGATATGTTTACATTTCATACATTTTGTGCCATTTTACTCAAAACCTGAACTCTTTAAATCACATGATTTTAGTACCATAAGGTTGGTTGTAAATCAGTCAGTTAAAAAGTGCCAAGCTTTTCATTGATGCCTTGAAATAATTTGATCTATATTCGAGTTGCACAGCCCCAGTTTCCTGTATCACAACTGTTAACCATTTTGGGCATAGAGCCAATTTGTGAAGCACCAGTAAAACTCATTTAACATTCACAGTACGTTTGGGTCCATGTTTTATTAATAAAACATATTATTATTCTCTGAACAGGCTCAAAGGATGCAGCGGGCTCCAGTCCCTGAAGAGAGCACCTCAGCCTTTCACTGACCTTCACCACCTCAAATGCACCACTATGTAAAAATCAGCTGACACTGTGTTTTCTAAATGAGGCAATCAACAGCTACTATTTTAATAAAGTATGACAAACTCAGCGTTTGAAGTACCATTTAGTAGTTTAAACTGTAATGTGCAGTCATAATGTTATTTTGCTATGCCAGTTGTCTCATATTTTATGTTATTTTAATCAGATATTTAAGATAATTTTTCAATTAGTAATGAATAATAAATAAAATAATGTGATCATTCTTCCACCATTGCCAGTCTGTGCCCTCTTCCCCTGTGAGCCCATGAAACGGTCTCTGCCCATGATTTATATTCAGTCACTGTGATGTGCAGGGCTTATCTCCTCCTACAAAAGCAGCTGTAGCTACAGTGGGCTCTGCCTGAGCGATCTACTCTAATGAAATGTGTGTTTGTGTGTTTGGCAGCCTGCATCGATTGTGAGCGGTGTGCAGCAGTTTGTCCTGTGCTGGCAGCCGACTGTGCTCCTGAACCTGCAGCGCGTCAGCAGCTCCACGCAGAGGAGGGGTGGATAAATAAAGCCATAAAGGATGCTTTGAGTCCAGCTAAGGTGCAGAGGGGGCTCATTCAAACAGGCCCCCGGCTGTTGGGCGCTGCAATGCAGAGGAGACAGGGTGATGCCGGCAGAGGAGGGGGTGTGGCGGGACAGCAAAGCGGAGCACGTACCCCAGCCCCTCTCCTGTAGCTCTGAGGGTCTTGCTGCAGCATGGAGAGCCCAGGAGGGCTTGGGGCGCACCTAGAAGAGCTGTAGCATCAGGCTGAGCTCTCTCTGTGGAACAGTGCTAGAGGTGGGGGCTCATTCATGTCCCAGGACAGTGCTGGGAGACAGGGGAGGAGCAGGGGCTGGCGTGAGTGTGAGTGCTGGAGGGGGGTATTTTGGGATGTGGGATCTCCTGAAACCAGTGCTGGAATAAAGATGTAGTGTACACTGCTGCTGTAGGAGGGACAGAACAAGGAGAGAGCTGTGCTGTGAGAGGAGAGCAGAGGGCAGGACGTCCCGGCTTCAGCCACCAAGCCGGACCACTGAGAACAGGGGGGGCCGGCACACACGGTCCATCGGGTCAGGAAGGTAAGATTCTTTAATTGTTTAAGGTCAAAACAATCAAATTGTACATTCACATTTCAGCAAGAGTATATATTTACACAGAAGAGTTAGATTTTCCTAAATGCTTAAGATTGCAAAAAATGCAAAAATGTTATCTGTAACAAGACTCATTCTATAATAAACTTTTTATTATTATGTTGACTTTTATCTGACAAAATGTGTCTCTGTGGTTCCTTCACCATGGTCCATTTGCTTATATTGGTTAGTCAGAACTGACCTATTCGTTTGTGCTTGTGTTGGAATTGGACTATTGACTGAATTTCAGAAATGAACTGGTGATATTCTGTATTAGAAGCTTTGGAAATACTCTCCAATAGGCAATAACTTTATCCATTAAGAGCTAAGATTCATTGAATGTAGTTCAACAAAGATATTAAGTGAGAACAGACTAAGTGCCCTGTGTAGGCAGCACAGAGACTTCAGTGTAGACTGAAGCAGGATCCAAAGGTTATTTTTGACACAGTGACTTTAATGTGTTTTGGAGGGATAATATTGCATTTTGTCTATGACCTCCTTTTTGGTTTGAAACAAGCAGCGGTGTCATAGTGTGAGAGCATTATAGCTGTGTCCAAAGAAAACTCTGTTAGCTGTTTGGTTTTCCATGGCATCAGAGCTGGGCCTGGCACCAGTGCCTCAAACACAAACGGTCACACCTCACTCAGCTCCAGTCCAACGACTCTGCAGCAAACACTTGGAGAGTTGAACACTTTTGTGGGCAGACACCCCATTTCCTTGATGATGTCATAGTCCTGTGTGTAACTGAAAGTTTATCCTGTCCACTGGAACCAAATCCCTCTAGTGGTGGTTTACCTCTACCCACTTTTAGAAGTACAGTAAAGTACAGTAATCAGCCAATTATGTTATACTTCATTTATAAATATACAGTCCTGACAAGAGTTTTTTAACATTTCCAAAAACTATTTAAATGCATTTCTTGGCTTCAAGATGCAAAAATCAGGTAGATTTGTCCAACATGTTACAGCATGTCAGAATAATGCATATTTCAGCTTATTCTGAACTGTCCTATTGGCAAACAATGATCTGGTACAGTTTTTGTAGCACTAATCTTGATGTAACCATGGAAATCTGTGTGGGGTCTGGCATGTTAAGAGGTGTGATTGATCACTGCAGTTTTTGTACTCTACAGCTCACCTCTGTTGCTCCCAAGCCTTAAAAACCAGTGGAGCAAGCACAACATTATAAAGACCCAAATTACAAAAGTTGGGTTGAAATCTTAAATAATTTTCATTTTACTTTTATTTAATTTTATTATAATTACAAATTCACTACTCAGTTATCAGTACTTTTTTGAATTGATATTATTGAGTTGTGTTCTTTGCCATTTTTCACTGAACTTCCTGGACATTTGTAAATATCAGCAGCTTAATTGTGGCCATCACTCCTGCTGCAAGCCCGGACGCGGTGAAGGAGACTGAAGGAGAGAGCGGAGGGAAATTTCATGAATGAAAGGAAAGGATTGTTCGTATCTCTGCAGCTCTTAAGCCTAGTCTTCAATTAGAGCTATTACCTAGAGTGACTGAAGGGGAGTGCCAGAGGGGCTGATGGAGCCAGGATAGGACAGTTTTACTGCTTTGGTTGAACTACTCTTTATTTTTTATTTTTTTATTTGTTTTTATTATAACCAAATCGTAAGTAAATGTAAAAGTAAATTTTGCATACAAAATGATTATTATAATGTCCCAATTAATGTACAGTCCTCCTTTCATGATGAACCCGTGCCATTTTTCTTTGAAAATAATTTTGCTATTCATTGTTGTGTTCTAAACTACAAACAAAATACTATCTGGCTAATATGCAATACAGTGCAAGCAATTAATTATTATTATCCTCACATATATATATCATCTTTGAGGGGGTCCTTAATGTCGTACTTTTTTTTTGTTACTTGGTGGTGGCTGACCTGTATTTTCTTCAGTGTGTACTGTATATATATGTACTTTTACCATGAGGTGTTTCAGACAGTTTTACATGAGCAAAACAGGAAATGACACTTAGGTAAAATGAAGGTGTACAGACTCCCTCTATGTCGTCACAGAACAGAATAAATAAGACAGCTTTCTCCAACAACATATGTATATGTGTGTAAACCTCCACTATTAATACATTATGCAGTCATAGTTTTATTTTCCAAAGCATTAATAGAAAGCAATATGAAGTTAAAAACATATATAACTTTTTAAGGTTATATGCATTGTCTCGTTCATCCAGGAGTGGTCCATTGTATCTCCTAAACACTATACTATATGTCATTATGAAGATTTTGGCATCAGACTTTAGTGTACAGACATTTTTGTTTCACAAAAATTCTTAAGTTTAATTTTATATGTCTGCTCAGATGCCCTCTCGCTGCAGAAATGCGGTGAACATCGTGATCACCACTCTCTTTGCAGCAGTGGTCCTGTTCACCATCCTGCTGGCCTATGTCACAGGTTTGTTGGTTTTTTGTTCAAATTCAAATACATTTCACAGCCTGATGGTGTGTATTTTACTCACAAATTATATATGTACTTGACAGGCATCATATAGCCATTTAATTTCTTTTAACAGGTATGTCCAAACTTTTTTCACAGAGGTCCACATATAGAAACATATTTGTAATGGAGGGTCACAGATTGGTGGTCAACACACTTCCTTTCAGACTTTCAGATAGATGCATTTTACATGACTACAACAGAGCCACTGTACCTTATTTTAGGTCTGTGTCATACTGCAGTGTCATTGAGGTTACAGTGATATAAATACTTGGATCCCTAAGGGCTGACAAAAATTGGTCTGAGGGCCACATTTTACCCCTGGGCCATAATTTGGACGCCCTTGCCCTATAAAATGATATATTAAATGGAGAATCAAATTGTTTTCTATTAGAGGAGAAAAATTTAGCCACTCTTGAATGCAAAAAAGAAATTGTGCTTGCCTATTTCATTATGTTATTTCATTATTGTTTTTTCTAACTGTGCCCTTGTTTTATGAAGGATACCAGTTCATCCACACTGAGCAGCACCACCTTTCCTTCGGCCTGTACGGGGCCTTCCTCTCCCTGCACCTCCTCCTGCAGAGCCTCTTTGCCTTCCTGGAGCATCGCCACATGAGGGCCCCAGCTCGCCCCCAGCACCTGCGGCGCACCGTCGCCCTGTGCATTGCTGCCTACCAGGAGGACCCCGACTACCTGAGAAAGTGCCTGCGCAGTGTCCGCCGCATCTCCTTTCCTGGACTCAAGGTGGTGCTAGTGGTGGATGGGAACAAGCCCGAGGATCGTTACATGATGGACATTTTCCAGGAGGTGATGGGCGGGGTGGATCAGGCTGGGAGCATGGTGTGGAAGGGGAACTACCATAGCGATGGCAGCGGTGGGCCTGTAACCAACAGAAACACAGTGCACATGGAGGAGGCTGCAAGAGTGTCCCGGCTGGTCAGGGGCTGTCGATTTTCCTGTGTCATGCAGGAGTGGGGTGGGAAGAGAGAGGTCATGTACACTGCATTCAAGGCCCTAGGAGACACTGTGGACTATGTGCAGGTACATGTAACAGATACAGATATATTTAAAGGTCCTATATTATGCAAAATTTACTTTTGTGAGCTTTAACTCATGTTATAATGTTGCCTCACCAAAAACATACCTGGAGTTGTGGATTGTTTCATTCACACATGTCTATCTACATATCTAAAGTTCAAAATGCTCTGTTCCACGTTGTGATGTCATGAAGCTGTAGTTTTCAGGTTAAAAGTTCCTTTTACCTTTAGTCCAGTACAGATTGGCAATTCCAGGGCTAGTGAAGCTGTATGGAGTAAGAGAAGAACTCAGCCTTAATATACAGAGTTTGTGTGTTAAACATGAGTGAATGAAACAAAATACAACTCCAGATCTGTTTTTGAGGAAACAACAGTATAACATAGATCAGAAAATAGTGTAATATAGGTTCTTTAATTATAATTGCCACGAACAGTTGTCAAATACAGTACTCACTGGGTGGTGGTTGCTCAGTTGGTAGAGATATTTGGCCATGAATTCCAAGTTTGCCAATTCGAACTCTGCTACTTGCTCAAATTAACTGCATTTGTCACCCCTTCAAATTATGCTTTTGGAACTTCTGGAATGCATTTTTGTGTTCTTTTGGGTTATTGTCATGAAAGAAAACAGATAGCCTGCTTTATCAATCATGACTCAATGTAAAGGGGCAGGCTTGACATCTCTTGCAAAAGGACAATAGAGTGAATTCATTCTATTGATGGTGTTTATAATAGTACTTTTTAGTCCGTGTGAGGCAGCTGTGTCCTTGCTGTGGGTTAGGTCACATTAGCCGACCCCTGTTGTGTAGTGGGGGGTGGACAGCTGCAAGCTCTGTCAGCGGTCCCTCATTTACCTGACAGATCTGTTCTTATTTCAGGTGTGTGACTCGGACACAGTGCTGGACCCTGCCTGCACTATAGAGATGCTAAAAATAATGGAGGAAGACCCGATGGTGGGAGGTGTCGGAGGAGACGTACAGGTAAATGCTGCTTTTTTGAACAAAGCCAAACCAGTCAGTGTTGCATGAAATGTTAGGTGTAACAATAAGTAAATAGTTGTGGCTGGTAATGACATAAGACAGTGATTCCCAAAGTTTTTGTAGTTGTGTACCCCCTGAGAGTTTTGATCACTTGTCATGTCCCCTGCTGCGACGCACTTCAAGATATGTCTGTTGATTCTGAACACATATTAGGCCTATATAGGTGAAATATTTGTAATGATATCAAAACAACTGTAATGGTAGATTTTTCTATATTCTAGATACTGAACAAATATGACTCGTGGATCTCCTTTCTGAGTAGTGTGCGTTACTGGATGGCCTTCAACATTGAGCGTGCATGTCAGTCATACTTTGGCTGTGTGCAGTGCATCAGTGGTCCTCTGGGAATGTACCGAAACTCGTTACTACAGCGTTTCCTGGAGCCCTGGTACCATCAGACCTTCCTGGGCTCAAAGTGCAGTTTTGGAGATGACCGCCATCTCACCAACCGGGTTCTGAGTTTTGGCTACAAAACCAAATACACAGCTCGCTCACAGTGTCAGACTGAAACACCAACACAGTATCTGCGCTGGCTCAACCAGCAAACCAGATGGAGCAAGTCGTACTTCCGCGAATGGCTCTACAATGCCCTCTGGTTTCATAAGCACAGCCTGTGGATGACCTATGAGTCTGTGGTGACAGGATTCTTCCCTTTCTTTTTGGTAGCTACAGTGATCCACTTGTTTTATCGGGGAAGACTGTGGAACATTCTGCTCTTCCTGCTAACAGTGCAGCTGGTGGGCATGGTCAAAGCCACGTACGCCTGCTTTTTACGAGGCAGCTTGGTCATGATCTTCATGTCCCTCTACTCTCTCCTCTATATGTCCAGTCTGTTACCAGCTAAAATCTTTGCCTTGCTCACCATTAACAAGGCGGGTTGGGGCACTTCGGGTCGCAGGAAGATAGTGGTGAACCTGATTGGGGCTGTGCCTGTCACTGTCTGGGCTGTGGTGCTGCTGGGGGGAGTGGTCTACACCATTTACTGTGAAACCCAGGAGCCCTTTAGTGAGACAGAGAAAGCCTTGTTGATATCAGGGACAGTATTATATGGCTGCTACTGGATTATTTTACTGGTCCTCTATTTGGCAATTGTAGCCAAGAGGTGTAACAAGAGAGAAGAGCAGTATCAGCTGCCATACACAGAAGGATAAACCTGGTGTTGAGACCAGCAGACTCTACCAGCAGGCTCAGGCCTTGCAGCAGCAGGACTAAAGTCCACTCTGTGAGCCGCAGATACTCGCGGCTTCATGTGGTGCTAAGAAGTGAAGAGGAACAGGTCTCTGCTCCAGGATAGGAAATGGGGCCAAACAGCACCCCTATTTGCTTTATTGGTGCTTCATACACAGAGCCAAATTCAGTGGCTATGAGTGGTTTATGCACAATCTCTTCTGAGCAGTATGACATTGTATAAAACTGTGACGAGATAGGGCAGTGTGGTTAAAGGACAAATCAGTGGAATTTATCTTAGTTGAACAATCAGTACTAAATGTCTTCACAGTTGGTCATTTTGTCAGGGCAGCTTGACTTAAGATACATCCACTCTCAGTAAATTAACATACTTGCTTTGTCCCTTCCTTGAATTTGAACACTTCAGTTTATGACAAGTCAAAAGTCAAAATCTGTATTCCTGTTAATTTAACAATAATTTGGCCTTTATTACTGCTCTTCATGTAACCAAATTGACCAATCACAAATTTTACCAACTTGAGTTGCTTAAGTGGGACTAAACACCTCAACTCCACCCACAACCAAAATTCAAAACAGTAGTAGTAGTTGAGTGTTTAGTCCCACTTTAAATTGTTATGTTTTATCTCTCTTTCTTTAAATCTTACTTTTGTTGGATTCTCAGTTTATTTGTGTTACTGAATTGAGCAACGTTCAGAATTCAGTGAATGTTATTTATTTATTTAGATATAAATGAATGAAAGTTGTTGTCAATGCACTGCAAAAGTAGTACTTGTATGTCCATACAAGCTGTAAATAATATTGGACCACTGCTCCTAATGCTCTAAAGGTACTACAATATTTTTTTAACCTGAAATACAGCCTTGTCAATGGTATTGTGCCTCTATGAGATCAGGCTTAGAGATGAACATGGATCTCTCCACACTTACATTATCAGTATTTTAATGTGGCCACTGCCAGTCAAGTTTGAATAAAAACAGTTACAGACAGCACCTGCCAGTGCCAAAGTATTAAATATCACAGCTTAGTATTATTCTACTTTTCAGTGTTGCATTGATAATTGAGGTATTCTTTTGGTGCTTTTAGATCTCAAAACAAGCAGAAAGGTCTGTGGCTTCACAGCCTTGATACTTTGTTTATAGTGATAATTTTTAATTGGTTGATAACTGATTTGAATTCTGCAAACATGCTAATTTCCATCTTCTATTATAGTCGGTGTGGACATTGGGTGTATAATATTGTGAACTTGCACAATTTTTTTGTTCAAATTGTGTTTTATGATTTGGACAGTCCAGCTTTTTAAACATGTGTGGTGCTGAAACAATTACTGTACATCATCATTCTGTCTGTTTTACATATTGTCAATTTTATAAACAGAAAGGTGCCAAATCGTGCTTTGTAGCAATACAAGATTTTTAAAGAACTGTTTGTGTCTTTTAATCTATAATGAGTATAACAGAGTTTATTAATAAAAATAAAAAAAAACTATTTATTTTATTAATTCATGTAGCAGCAGGTTTGAGTTTGTCTGAGATTCACTTAAAGGTTCATTGTGTAACTTTTCTGGTGGAGGGTCTGTCAAATGCTTTTCTCTATGGAAGTGTTATTACTTTGTCTGGAATGCTTCATATGGTATTAAACCTTTCTATCTCCATGGAGACCAAATCAGACCAAGTTACAGGTCAGATCTGTGGAAAGGCAACCCTGTCAGAAGCCCTGCTTTTCTAGGTATTTTTGAGCAATAAAATCACTGTAATTGAATAAATGTAAGGTAGAGCTGTTTAATGTCATGCTGTGGAATATTTCAGGCAGAGCAATGACATCTCCATAGAAACATGCAGGTGATTGCTAACTAATATGAGATCACCAATAAGCCAGCAGAAGAAGACAGGCATTTCAGTGTATGAACCATATGTAAGCCATTTATGTTAAAGCATGTCCAGTTGCTCTTGTTTGTGTAGATTCTCACACTATTGATGACAAAGCTGAGTCAAACAGAAAGAAGGAAAGAGACAGACAGATTAAATGTCAATGTATTCATATCAAGCTTATCTGGATCTGGTATGAATGGAGTGATTGTGTCTAAAAAGGAAAGTATTTTTAATGAGCCAGGAAATGTCCAGTAGCTGAGCATGACACAAGCCTTTCTTTAGAGTCTATTTTTACAAAAAAAAATAAAAAAATATGACAATGCTAAAAGAATGGTGATTATTATTTAATATAGTTTTATGGTTCATTTGTTATTTGTATTTAGCAGATAGGTGAAAATACTGCAAATGTTAAAGATGCATTGTGTAACTTTTCTGGTGGAGCGTCTGTCAAATGCCATAGAAATGTTATTGCTTTGTCTGAAATGTTTCACAGTATGACATTAAACTTTTCTGTCATCGTGGAGACCAAACCAGGCCAAGTTACTGGTCAGATTGGTGGAGAGGCAAACCCACTCTGTCAGAATACCTGGATATTTTGGAGTAATAAAACCACAAGCAATTGAATAAATACGAGGCAGATTTGTTTAATGTTAACTATGGAACATTTAATGCAGAGCATTGACATGTCCATAGAAACAAGACGATGATGGACCCCCAACTGAAACTTTCAGTGACTCACATTTCTTTAGGAATGGGAGCTAAAAAGTAACACAAGAAGCCTGGAATAAAACAAAAAGTGTAAATATGTTAAAATGTCAAAATTAAAACCATTTCTCTGTTAGATATAAAATGTTGCCAACAAGCAAGGATATAAAATATAAAAGTAACTAAATTTGATCTGAATTTGTACAGAGCTGCTGCATTAAGAGGAGGTTCAGTCCATATGAATGGGCTCTTTACACAGAGTGAACTAACAGGCAAGCCTTTCACTGCTGGGGTTACACCTCAACATGGGACCCACCTTCCTTAAACACATACTGTAAGCTTTAAAATGTAAAGTTTGTGTTTAGGGAAATGCCTGACACAGAAAATAAATTATAAGAGCACAAACTAAGCACAATTTCTTTCCACAATTGCAATTAATAGCATTTAGAGTGGAAATTGATTAATGGTTTTACTTACTTAAAAAATGCCAGTCTTGAAATAAAATATAAAAACAATATTACCATCTAACAAACTGGAAGATTTAAGTGAAGGTTCTAAATATATTCCTGCTTGTTAACAAATACACAAGTAGCTGTCGAAATGTTTTATTAATTTCAGAGAGAATATATATTTAATATGTGTGTTGTCTTTCAAACGCAATAAAACTATTACACAATAAACAAATTCAAACAAACATTCATGCCAAAATCTCTGTTACAAAGTCCATGTAGACTCTTCCTATGTGGACTTCCTAAACTTTGAATAAGAATCATGTTCAGTCTTTCGCCCTTTGTCCACTGGAGCTTACACCTTTTTGGGCACATTGGTGATGATGGGTTTGGGTCGTGTTTTGAAGATAAGTTTCTTCTTGATTAAAGCGGTCACAGAGTATGTTGTGGAGTTAGGAGCCTGTAGTTCTCCCTCCACGGCTTCAGGGGCATCATCAACCATGTCCCGAGAGTGTCCAGGGTGCTTGATCAGAACCGCAAACGGCTTCTCAAGTTTGACATGTTTGCCATACAGGATGTGATGGCCAACTATGAGCACTGGCACCCCCTGGTGGAAACAAGACAAACAGCAGATGGTAAGTTCTGATGTTCCATTATGTTAGGCACAAAAAATAAGTTATTTGTTTTTTCTGCATTTGTCTGCTTGCTGCATAGTGAGATTTAGAGCCTGTATATTAGTACGGCCAGTTTCAGCTTGGCTTTCAGTGGAAATATTTTAACATAGAAAATATGGATGTAGCTGAAGATGCATCAAGTTTTTGGAAGAAAAGCAACAGTTTCCAGGAGGGGTGAAGTCTGATATTTGGGAATATATTTGCTTATTGTTAAAAGCACAGTCCAATTTCCTGAAATTGTTTTGGTTGAATTTCTAGCAGTTTCTTTTGATTAGAGGGACGTATAGTATATGTGTATAAGTAGAAGTGTCACCTGTTTATATAAACACAAACAGTGAAGTAAAGAAGGGGCGGGCCGGTTTCAAGGGGGCTATAGGTGCATTTATGTTTTAGTACCTCTTACCTCTTTGGTGTAGAGCAGATCTCCCATTACATTCCCTGCCAGGCCGGAGTTATGGCGGGACACCATCTCCCCCTGCAACTCCACCAGTAACCACTCAGGAGGCTTACTCGCATCCTCGCTGCTTCTGAAAACCAGTGTTGGGAAGGTTACTTTTAAAATGTATTCCCCTACAGATTACAGATTACATACCCCAAAATGTAGTGTGTAATCCATTAAATTACTGAAAGTGAGTAACGTAATCTGAATACTTTGGATTACTTGCTTTGCTGTAGAGAAGCAAAGTCAAGGATATCTTCACATAAGTCTGCTAAAACAATGAAAAGCCCAGTCTTTAATTAACCGTATTAAAAATATTATTGATAGAAGAGAAGGAGACATGGTCCGTGCAGCATGATTTAGTCCTGTTAAATCCTGTTTTAGACCTGGTTTAGTCCTGGTTTAGTCCTGGTTTAAACTTAGTTTAGACCTGGTTTAGACTTTGTATAGACTTGGTTTAGACCTGGTTTTAATCCTGCTTTAGACCTAGTTTAGACATGGTTTAGTCCTGGTTTAGACCTAGTTTAGATCTGGTTTTAGACCTAGTTTAGACCTGGTTTAGTGTCCGGCGAGGAGTGGAATTACTGAGGAAAAAAAAAAAAAAAGGGAATACCCCAAAATGTGAAAACAGGAAAATACCGCCATGTAATCCCCTTATTTCAACAAAGTAACTGTAATCCAACTACCTCTCATTAAAACAGTAACTGTAACTGAATACAGTTACTCATAATTTGTGCTCTGATTACGTAACTCCGGTACATGTAATCTGTTACTCCCGATCACTGCTGAAAACACAAATGTTATGAATGTAGCTTGTGGGATTAATAGTAAAATAGCTAAGTGCTCCTTCAGAATTGTGTTTTATCATCCATAAGAATGTTCTATCTACAATATTCTTTAAGCTATGTCTGTGATTTCTAACTTGTCCAAGAGGGATCCATAGAAAGAAATTAATTCTAAAAACTCTGTCCAGATAACTTAACATCATTTTTCTTCTGCATAAACAAAAATTATTATTACAAAACGATGACTATTGTCTTTTTCATATTTTCTATCTAGAAACAAGCAAACTCTTACCTTACTATTATTTGAACCATTCCTGTCAAAGGCGTCGGTCTTTGTGTCAAAAGTTGCTATGTAATATATATACAACTATCTCCGTACTTAACACTTCACAAAAGTCTGATCATTACAGTTAAACACATTCACTGGACAAAATATTTTAATAGATCCAAGCCAAACACGTCCAACCCATTTCGCGCCAGTGGCTTATTTTTCTACATCATGACGTACTTCCGCTTTGTTAATGTCTTTCTCTTCCGGTTCAAATGTCCTCAACGTGGCTCCTGTAATGTTTTCTCGCGTGTGGGACCTATGTGTGGTGAAACTACTATAAATAAGTAAAACTAACAGCGTTTATGCTAGAATTAGTCAAAATTGTATATTACTTGTATATTATTGTCGGCCTTAATGTCAAAGTTATTCTAAAAAGGTACAGTTGGGCTCATCGCTAATAAATCACACTTCTAGCTGGAGTTCAAAACTACCAGGCCACCAGCGCATCTTGCTTAGACCAAGATGGGTGAGTTCAAAGTGCACCGGGTCCGGTTTTTCGACTACATGCCCAGTGGGATCCGAGCCTTGGCATTTAACCGAAGCACGGAGCGACTGGCCGTGGCCCGAGATCAGGGGTCTGTGGAGCTCTTCAACTTCTCTGACAACTACTGCCAAGAAAAGGTAACAACGCTGTCCCATCTATTAGTCTGTTTGTAATAATTAGTGTCAAACGCTATTATTATGACTAAATTACCAATTTGTCACTACTGTGCATTTTTCTATTTGTCACTGAGATAAGTAACTATTACCGTCATCACACGTACCGTCTGATCTGTGTGCCAGGTTATCCCAGGACGGGACGGCCGCTCAATAGAGGCTCTGTGCTGGGTTGGCTCTCGGCTCTTTAGTGTTGGTTTGGATGGACTGATCACAGAGTATGACTTGAACAACCTCAGACCAAAGTACACGGTAGAGGCCTATGGTGGACCAGTCTGGAGCATCAGCTGCAACCGTCAGGGGAATCTCCTTGCAGTCAGTGGAGAGCTGTGTACGTATTTGACCTGATAAACATGTGCTTTAATGTAATATGCTTGTTTCAGATTGGTTGTGAAGATGGGACAGTCAAAATCTTTGAAGTACTGGATGACAGAATTCAATTTCAAAGAAATCTGGACAGACAGAAAGGTAATATAATATTAAGATCAAACCTAAGCCTGTTACAATAACAATGATATGGCTTTGAGGTAATAATTTTAAAGCTCCCCAATTCAACCATACCATTGTTTATATTTTATATCTGAATTATTAAATAATCTGCAGTTCATTTTCAATATTATTTTGGCTTTCCATTGTAATATTAGAAAAATAAATAAATAAAATGACCTATTGTTAGGTCGCATCATTTCTGTGAGCTGGCATTCATCAGGGACAAAGATTGCTGCTGGTATGATGGACATGATCCGAGTATTTGATGCTGAAAGTGGTTGGTAGACAAGTAATACTTAATATTATTATTTGTGCAATTTATGAAAATATCAGAATGTGAAATTATTATTTTTTTTTTTTCTCAAGGCCGTGCCACGCACAGACTGCTGGTTGAGAGGGGTGTAGGTACTGCTAAGAACAGAGAGGTGGTGGTGTGGAGTCTGGCTTATCTTTCTGATAACACCATTGTTAGTGCCGACTCAGCAGGAAAAGTTCAGATCTGGGATGGTCTCACGGGAACACTGATCCGGAGTCACCTCATCACTAAATGGGATGTCCTTGCTTTGTCTGTTGCACATGTGAGTATCTAAACCTCTCTATATTTCTGCTATAGTATCATTCTGTAGTAACATTAGTGACACAAAAGATAAAGTATTATTTTTGTCTAATATGTTCTGGCATATTTTTTCAGGATGAGAGCAGTCTAATTGCTGGGACATCAGAAGGCACTGTGGTTCAGTTTCAGTTTCTCCCGTCATCTGGGGAGCAGGACAAAGAATGGGTCAGAACCAGGACTTTTAAGAACCACTCCCATGATGTCCGGGCCCTGGTCCTAACTGATATAGCTGTTGTCTCTGGAGGTACTTGTGTATTTTTTAATCAGAAAGATCACAAAAATTACCTTTACATCTTCAAGAAAAACTTCATTTATCTTAGAATAATTTCAACATTGTTTAGGTATGGACACCCAGTTGGTAGTGCGCCCTCTGCTGGATAAAGTTGAAAAGAATACAGCTGAGTCCGAACTGCGCAAAATGGTTTTCCCCCTTGTAAGTTTGTTAACAGCCGTGCTTCAAGCCATGCATCACCATTATTATTATTATTATTATTATTATTTGCTTTCCTTGTTGTAGAAAAGTTTAGTTAGTTGTGCGAAGAAGTCTGGATTGTTGCTCTTCCAGTTTCCGGACCATCTGGAGGTTTGGAGACTTGGAGAAAGTGAAGGATATGGTGAGGCTTTGAATTACAAAAAATATTGATAAGTGTGGAATTGTCTTACTGCACTTGATGTTTTTGCCTCTGCTTTGTTATTAGGGAAACCTGGAGATCGCCTACTAGTCAAAAGAAAACCAGAGAAACTGATTCATCTAAAGCGGAAGGTGTGTGCCACATCCGCACTGGTTATTATATTATATATTTGAGATTACACTATTCAGTAGATGTG